ATGCACTGCCATATCTGGCTACTTTTAAAATTTTTTGTAAAGCCTGTTGCCCAGGTTGGTCTTGAACTCGTGGCTTCAAGCGATCCTCTCATCTTGGCCTCCCAAAGTGCCAGGATTACAGGCAGAGCCACTGGGCCTGCCAGTGAGCTTTTGATTCTAGCTTTATGACCACAGTGCTGCAGCCTAATTGTGTGCTGAGAACAGATGTCACTAAATTGTGGTCAATGTGCAAAATTAATTTTTGTCACAAATTGGGAACACGTACTTTTATGGCAATGACTGCCAGAATGTTAAGATGAACAGGTGCTGCAGATGAGGAAGAGCAGATGCAAATGGCAAGAGTGAAGAGGCAACTATACCGTGAAGCCAGAACCAAGGACAGATTGTTTCCTGTAACATGCAAGAACTTTGCTGTGTGAATAAGTGAGAGAACTTGGATGTGCTACTCAAACAGCCTGATGGATACTAGTGTGATAACCCCAGAGGCATTTAATCCTCACAGGAGAGCCACATGTTCCACCCTTCAAAAATCTACCTCAAACACCAAGAAGTTGACAAATATTACTCCAGCCAATACATATTTCTGAAATGGTTTAACAGCTTTTTGCTATTTATTCTCTGCCATTAAAATACCCTATGAAATAATTTCATTGCCCCCTGCCCTCCACCATTATTGCGAATTAGAAACATGTGAGTGTTGGCCCAGGGCTGGAGGAAATGAAGTACAATTCTGCCACAGATTTGGTAATGTTTGTATGCAGTAGCCAATGAGGCCCCCCCAAAATTGGACATAGTTTTTGGTGCTACTCAGTTTATGAGGGTATTAAGTTGGGAAAACACTTGGAGGTTTAAGGGAAATTGCATTCTGACTTGGGGGAAAAAAAGACACAATTGAGGCCATGAAACAGAAACTCTTGGAAAGATGCCCCAAAACATAGGAAAACTTACTCCCATCCGTCCTCCTCTATCTAGCTCCTCTATCCTAAAAGGCATGACTTCCTGTTCGAGGCTGGAATGTGCTCTCTGCTTGCCATCGTGATTTACTGAAGATAATGTGCCTGCAATGGGAAGTGACTTGGATATTTTCCTTCATGTTTATCAGATGCAGTATGAGTAGCACCTGAGATAATATAGGTGTCTCTCCATATCCACAGGGCATGATTCCAGGCCCCCTGTGGATATCAAAATCCAAAGATGCTCAAGTCCCTGATATAAAATGTTATAGTATTTGCATGTAACTTATGCACATCCTCCTGTATGCTTACCTCTAGATTACTTATAATACCTAATACAATGTCGATGCTATACAAATAGCTGTTATACCCTATTTTCTATTTGTATTATTTTTTATTATTTGTTTTCAGAATTATTTCCCGTCTGAGGTCGGTCAAATCTGCAGATACAGAACCTGTGGTTATGGAGGGCAGACCGAATATATGAATGAAGGGGTAACATCTATGCTAGAACATGCTTTTTTGGACAAGTTTCTTCTCTCAGGAAATAAACAGTAAATCTTCACTGGTACTCTTTTTTGTTGAATTTAGGCTAACCATATAATTTACCCTTAAAACCAGGACACATTTGAGAATGCAAAGGCGGTGCCATTAATAATTATGCCTGGCAAATACAAACCAGAATTGTTTCAGACAAACTAGCATGTGTGACCAATTACTTGTAGTGCAACCTTAGTGTTTGATAAATATTATCACATTGTATAACTCTGAACCCTCCTGATTTTTTAAAAAAAGGAACATTCATATAGACATATTATGTTAGATGTGCATTCTTTCAGTTATGCTAATTTACTAAACACATCTCTTTGGCTAGAGGGAAGGAAGAATGTTTTTTCCCTCATGGTACTTTGAGCATTAAGTTTTACAGATGAGGTAAGTGAGCACAGGAAGCTAACTGATTGCCCCAAATCACACTCCAGAGCTGAGCTAAAAGCTCAAAATAAAAACTCTGCCCCGTGAATACCTAAAGTTGTGCTGTTCACCGAACCACGAAGGGCTGCCTTCTGGAATTTGATCAGATTTCCACTATGGATCCACCAGAGGTGGAGACTTACTACCACCTTCGAGACAAAAAACATTGCAAGTTTATAAAGCGACTTTTCCTAGTTCACATTAATCCTCTTCATCACACTTCTATAAAAAGCCTGAGTGAGAGTCCTAATCATTAGTCTTTTTGTACAGATTTCTTTGAGCATTCAAGAATGGATCCAGGCATTCATTAAGTTTAGTACTCGGGATTTTGTGTGTTGTAGTAACTAAGCAACACTTAAAGATGTTTTAACTTAGCATGTCCTGCATTGGCACATTTAAAAAAAGACTGTCTCGCCACACTTGGCAGAACCTCCCTGACTCTCCCACCCTCTGTCCAGTTCCTGTACATCTTGGCTCCCCAGCGGCGGCTAACAGAGGCCTCTCCTGTCTCAGCCGCTCTGACAGCCTTGGCCTAGCCTTCACCACTGCAGGGCAGCTGGATGCCCATCCTGTCTCCAATCATTGGTAACTGCACAAAGGCTGGACCTGAAACTGGTGGTTTGATTATCCAGTACTTTTTTCGAGACAGGGGCTAGCTGTCACCTGGGCTGGAGTGCAGTGGCATCATCCGAGCTCACTGCAGCCTCAAACTCCTGGGCTCCAGTGATCCTCCTGCCTACAGGAATACAGGAGCACACCACCACACCAGGCTAATTTTCCTATTTTTTGTAGAGACGGGGTCTTGCTCTTACTCAGGCTGGTCTTGAACTCCTGGGCTCAAGCGATCCTCCCACCTTGGCCTCCCAAAGTGCTAGGATTAAAGTCATGAGCCACGCCCCTGGCCCATTCACTACTTTTTATAACAATTCTCACATCAATATCTTAAACCTATCATAATTGATACACCTTTGAACATTGTTTGCCTTTGTTTATGAAAACACAACTCTTAAGTGACTTTCTAGGTGTAGTTTTGGAAGCAGAACTGCAGCACTCAGGAACCATGATAGGAACATGTAATACAGAGAACTTGTTCTTAGGAAAACATTTGTTAGGGCAAAAACTTTGGTATAAGCCACACCCAGGATTCTAATCCCAGTTTCACTATGTATGAACTATGTGATTTCTATAAGCTCTTCGCCTCAGTTTCGTTTATAAAATGGAGTAAGAACTGTACTTGTCTTAGAGATTTGTTGTGAGGTTTAAATGGGATAGTGCAATGTGAACTGTTTAATAGTGTCAGTCAACAAGACATATTTCTGTCTCCTCCTAGACTGTATGTCTCTCAAAGGCTGGAGGAGTATTGAGCTGAATAAGCAAGAGTATGAAAAGTATACATAAAAGCTATCATTATTAGCTCTCGGGAAATGAAGCTAGTTAAGAAGTGGGACAATACATGAAGCAGCTCAATTTACGTTGGCCTTTTCATCTAGAAAGTTAACCAGTTGAGCATTATCTTAAAAAATAGTTTCCCCACGGCTTAGGAATCTACTCAGTGGCATCTTAAAAGGACAAGAACAAGTCAGGGTGTCTTGTGGAACAGAAAATACAAAGGAACCACATAAAACGGCACTGGATGCCCGCGCAAAATATGCTAAGTAACCTGGTAGGTAAAAGACACAAGAGCTGGTTCCATATGACTTTGCCAATTTACCTAACCTCTTTTAACCTTGGTTTCCTTAGCTCTAAAAAGAGGCCTTTTAATCTTTCAAAAATGCTAGTCTAAATGACCATTAAATGATATCCGACACACAACATAATCACAGCAATAACTTAACAAAATGTTCAATTTCTTTTGTTATGTGATGCTAACACCAAGCATGGCTTAGAATCCCAGATGGCCTGCCCGAGTCTATTCTACTTGGGAACTTCAGACTACGATCTAGGCAAACCTCAACTAGGAGACACGGTCATCTACGATAGCAGTTTTTAAAATCTAAAAGCAGCAAACCTTCCCCAAACAACTAATCAGTAAGTAAAACACATAATGCGGCAGAGTGGAATTGCTGTAGTGAAAGCAGTGGGGAAAGGAAAACTAAGCCCCACAAACTCTAACCACTTGATCTTCTCAGCTCTGGAACCCCAGAGCACAACACAGTGTGAAACCAAATTACTTAAATGCCACAGGAACAAACACTATGGGATGGCTCAAATCTTTTGGCATTAGAATTCTATTGCACGTCTTGTTTGAAATAAGTAAGCTAATAGGATTTTCCTTTGCTTTAGACGTGTGTTGTGTAAGGACTGGTGCTAAGAGCGTGGATATGGTGGTAAAAAAGGACCTGCTTAGGTCAGGTAACTCAGGATAGCATGTGTTTTTATCAGAGCATTCTCACTGCACAAGAGGAAAAAAAGAAACTGGCCCTGCTCCAAAAGGGTCTTATATTTCACTATTTCATAGCTACATTTTAGGTAGGTACTTTCAGGGAATAAGGAATAAAGTAACAAAAATAATTTACAGTTGCATCTTTTCAATTATAAAGCAAAAAGCAGAAATCCCTTCCAAAAGTAGAATGTACTGCAAATTATTCATTCATTCATAGCCTCGCTCACACTGGAGTTCCAAGAAAGGCTAGCAAACCTCCTGGGGAAAGAAAATAGTAAACTACACCAAGTTTAATAACGTGACCCTCACTAAATGCACAGCAGTTATGGCAAAAGTAGAACTATTTTTTCATAACAGAAAGCGGGGGTAGTGGCAGCAAGGCCAGACAAGGGAAGGTTCCCTGACTTTTTGTATACAGATAACCTGGTTACAAAGAGTAGCCTGGCCTTGAAGAAAGAAGAGGAAATCATCACAATGGACATCATGTTGCTGAAAGAGGGTTTGTGGAGAAGGAAGGGTTGTTTCCAGGCAGCCCATTTAAATTCCTTAGTGAATGCGGATCATGTGCAAAGAGGTATCTCAGGCCCTTTTTTTTCTTTCTTTGTAACAACAAAATTGCAATTAATTAGGCTCTAGACTGCTCAGAGAAGCCCAGAACTGGGCCTAAAGAATAAAATACATGAAAAACCTGTGAAACCATGAAAATACATTTTTTAAAAAAAGTTTTCAGGTATAATACACAAAAGCAAACAAGTTTATCTTAAAAAATATCAAGTATCACATCCATAGCCTATTCCTAATTATAATTACTTCTTAAAGCAATATTTGTCTTTGTTTACAAATACAGCAGCAGGTGATAAAACCTAACATCTCAAACAGATTGCTTACAGTTCATAATACAAATGTATGTGTCCCAAATCACATTTTAGGCAGTTTAACTTAAAATGCATAGACAATTACATACATTAAATTTGTCATTATTGTCAATGAAAAAAATCACAATTTCAAGAAAAAAATTACAAAATATCTTTACAGCACACGCATAAGAACTCAAGTTTACTTAATGGCAACAAATCAGTATCTGCTAACCAGTGGCAGGCAGTGAAAGTGCCTTTATCCAGGGGTAAAGTGAAGAGGAAAAACATCCCATTACTTTGTACACTTGAATAGTTGCACCCATCAACACTACACTTTTGGAAAACCTCAATTTCTTAGTTAACAAAAAAGGTAAACCACACTTTGCCCTTTAACATGCCTACAGGCTGGTTCTACAATTTCCACCAGCAGCAATCCTAACATGTGTAGGTAAACCCGTAATGAACAGGTATATTAATGGATTCTGTCATGTCACCTCTAGACTATAAGCCTCTTAAGGACAGGGACTCTCTGGCATCTGGCAAAGCACCTGATCAGACGTGTCTACTGCATGAATGCTTCAGATGTATTCTGTAGTCAGAAGCTTGCGTGGCATTTTAAAAATACTGATTATTTTATTGGCAAATTTTTGTTTTACTTGGCAGAATTCTGAAAATAAAAAGAATAGTGTCTGTCTTCAATACTAAATATTGCTTTATTAAGATTAGTCTTCCCTGAAAGCCATCCATCACTTTCTATGCATAGTACAACAATACATCAGTGTGATTCATCTGAAGTCAGGCTGAGGATTTTCAAAAATGTTAACACTTAAAGGTCTGTGCTTAAGTTTAATTTCCAGGGTTTATAACCGTGGCATTTGATAAAGCTAGTTCTATATTACTCAGAGGGAGGAAGGAGACACTGGCACTTACTGTTTAGAAGTGTAGGCAATTGACTGATAAATTAGGCAGTCTTTTAATGAAAACTCTGAGTAGAGCAATTTTCATCTACACAAAGTTTCAAATGCTATACATTTGAGTACAATAGGTAGCACTAATTACTTGTGAGGTAATAGATCATGGGCAGTGACCTCTTTTCTAGAAAATATTCCAATATTACATTGTAGTGGTATGACTTGACTAAAGCCAAAAATTCACCCCTTTTCTTCTCTGCCCCATTACTACCTCTACTGAAAACCAGCAAAATGGATGCAGAATAAAGGAAGTTCTTGGGTAATTAAAAAATGTATTGTCTATTCCTGAATAATCAATATATTACTTTATACAAAATAGGGCTGTGGAGTCAGAGCTATTGGTAGTGTCTCCAAAAGCATGAGAAGATGAGAAGGTGGCAGTCCAGGACAGACAAGCCAAGGTATTTGTAGCACTCCATGTGATTCTTGAGAACTGTGTGGGAATGAGGACCTAAGGTCTAGGCTTTGATTTTTCATTGTCGTTTCTGCGTTTAACGTTTCAAAACCTATGATTCCCACTTCAGAAACACTATTCCTGAACACATCTCAAATATATCCATTACATGTATTTAAAAATTCTTGCTCTGAAGCCCAAATGTCAGCATATTCCATAATTTGTATTCCCTTAAGACCAAATATACTTGCTAACAAGCAGTCTTTTCCATAAATTTCAGCCTAGCATGACTTGTTTTGAAGGCAACACTATTCCCTTGCAAGGAGGAAAAAAACCTTCCTAGATGCTCCCCTCATTCCTCCTCTGAAACTTTTGCCTTTCTTAACTCCATCCAGACCAAACCTAAAAATATTTTTGACTCAGAGTGCTCACAAGAATCAAGATCCACCCCTCACAATTGGAGAAATGGTGCTTTACAAAAATAAGAATATAAAAGCAAATTCTATTATCCCTTTGATTTCCATTCTTTCATTAAAAAAAAAATCCTCCCAAATACCAGTTGTAAAGCCCTTGAAAGCAAAGGGTTAAAATGGCAGTATCATCCAGGGCACATGGGACAGTATGGGTCAACAGCCATTATACTTACTGGGAGTAGAGATCCCAAATCTTGTTTGGGATTACTTGCTAAATCCTTTAGCAACAGATTTTTCTCCTACAATCAATGGACTCCACAATTGCAGATTCCCAAACTTGCTACCTCTTCTTCTTTAGTCAAACTATATCCTCTCTAGTGTTACATTAAATATTTCATCTAAAGCCAGAGTTGTCAACTTATCCCAATGTAGGACAGCCAAAAATAACTCTAAGGAGAGATAACTTTGCTGCCATCTCACTTTTCATATCATCGTATCCTTCCACAGTTAATTGACAATTTAAGCCGTAACACCTAAGGGTACCTGCCTTGTAGACTGGAGGCCACTTTGACAACAGATTCCAAGAGTATTGTAGATAGCTATCATCTGTCTTGCAAAGAAGTTAAAGAAGAAAAGACTACTTTTGCCACTATGTAAGTGCTAACAACATTCTCCAGTCTGAAAATATCTAAACAAATTAGATTCCACTTTTGTCAATTCTTAAAGTTTGAATCTATCATCTATTTAACATAAGGGAGACACTGAATGTTCCTCTCAAAGATGACCATCTGGCTTTCTTAAAAGGAGGTAGCTATCAAACCATTAAATTGGCAGCATTTGGCATTCTTGACATTTTAATTATAGCAGAAATAAACTATTAAATATTTTATTACTAAGCAGAAACAGAGCTCCAGCATAAATCTCTTCTATACTGCTCTGAGAAATTCACAATACGTATTGGAAAGTCAATGAATACATTCAAAATCTCAAAATGTTATTTGATAAATAACAAGGTCAGGTCTACCCCAAATCTAAGAATCTGACTTAAAGATAAGGTGCCAAAAAGCTACTAGGGTTGTTTTGGTGGTTATAAACAATACTTAATATTTAAGCAACACAGTCACGTTGCTTTAAACTCAGTTGCAGACATCTACAATTTGTCAACAAATACAGAACTGAACTGTTAGCCATAAAAACTTTACAAATAGGTCCAGGAAACTATGCAGGAGACAATGACATAGCTTAACCAGACTCTGAAAGATATATATTTTGATTCACACTTGTACAAAGAGAACAGTCACATCTGTATGACTTAAGGTTCTCTAAACATAACTGCTGTATCTTTTTGACAGACCCATAGAGTATGCCAGTTTTCTGTATCAGGGAGGAATCAAGGGATATGCTCCTTCTAAAGAACTGGGAGGTGGGGATGGGAGGCTACAGGGAATGGTCTGGGCAGAAGAGCTGCCTCAGGTTTTGTGGGAAAGCAATTCCTAGGGTTTATCTAGTTTGAGATTCAGAACAAAGCAGAGAATTATTTTCTTCCTTGAGCTCTTCCCAAAGCAATAAGCACATCTTATAATCCATTCTAGAGCAATACAATGAGATCGCCAGTTTTCTAAGAATATAACTTTACATGCATGTTGGCCTGGATTAAAAAGAAAAAAGTCAGTTTCCATAAATGGCAGATTTCAGTGCTGTATGACCCATATGGCTAAAAATAAAACCAGGAAGTTTTTACCAAAAGCTCAAGGATATAAATGAACACTGGCTGGCTAGTGAACTCAACATTTGACAATTACTGACAGTTTTAAAATTTATATCCAAAATAACACCTCAAGGGAACCAAGTTTATTTATCCTATAGATAGAACAGCTCAAAATGTTAAGACATCATTTGTTTAGATTATAATGTGATTATTTTCAAAATTTATTTAGGGGGGGAAGTGACTATAGAAAAATACTTGAACTAATTTGTCAATGAAGTTGCAGATCCTAACACATAATCTTAGACTTTTAAGTGTAGTTTCATAACTTAAACAAATTGTTAATCAAAGAGCTATTCAGTATACTTAATCACTTTAACTTTCCATGAAAACCAAATAAAAATCACATCTGAATGATTTACTTCTGTTTTTATCTGATTGTATCCATCTGATGTACTACACATCCAAGTACAAGAGGCAGTTATCTTCTCTGAGAGGTGCAAGAGTTGTTCTTTCATGAATGCCCTCTAAGAATAGTGAAACCAGCAATTTTTATATATGCATTCATGTGCATATATATGTACTTCAAAAAGCAAAGCGTCATCTCTTCATCCATTGTTAACTTAATGGTAAGACTGCAATAGAAAAAAGAAAAAGTCAACTTCTAGATTTTGTAAGTGGAGTTTATTAACTCCTTGCTGTGGCTTAAAATAAATTTATTGCTTAATAAATCCAAACAGCAAGTCATCTCATTTAGTTACTTTGGCATATACTTTACAAAAAAAATATTTTTAGAGAATATATATAGTAAGAAGTTACACTAATGCAAGGAGGAAGTTTGGGAGGTACTTTTATAGCTGAGGTGTATGTTTGATTAATCTAATCAGAGATCTGATTAGTTATTTTGTGTGTTAAGAGTTAACAGATTTTTCCTTCCTAAGGAAAATCTTGACTCTGTATTTGGATGCTCACTTGGCTTACCTTATGGGAGAAGTGGAGTACTTTTCTATCCAGTCATATGACCAAGACCTCAACTAAGATGTTAACCCTACCCCAGCTTGGCTGACAGCAACGCAGAAAGCATTATATGTAACTGACACTAAAGAATAGTGGCATAATCTTGAGCTCAAGAATTGCCTGAAAGATGAGTGTTATATACTCATTGCCTTGGATTCTCTAAAAGTCTGTCTGTGTATCAGGCCCGATAAACAGAGATCGTTTTTATTGAATTGTGCTTGGTGTGATTATAAGAAAATATTGAGAAATATTAAAAAAACCAAGCCGAATAAAATGCATCTCAGCGTTTACCCTCAAGGATGCTGCTGAGGACACTGTTTGCTACATTACAAAATCTTTGGTGATCTTTGGGGAATTTTTCTTTTTGTTTCTAGTACAAAGACTTGTGCTTTCCTTAATCCTTTTAAACCTGAAGTTTTGAAATTTACTCATTTTATGTATTATACATGCATTCTCTTTAAAAAGGTTTTAAAAGCTTTCTAATCTTTCAACTAAAACTAGGGAGAAATAATCCTTCAGTTGTGCTTATATGATTATTAGTGCACATTAAATAACAAATTGAATACTCACATGTGGGCCACCAGGCATCGGTGGAGCACCAGAAGATCCTGAAGGCACTTGAAAAGGATTACTGGGAGTAGGATAGAGTCCTGGTGTGGGATATGATCCCGCAGGGGCAGGATACGGTGCTGGTGGTCCCCAGGCTCCTGGTGGAACAGTGCCCCATGGAACAGGTGGTGCTGCCCCTGGTGCTTGGGGAGGAGGAGCAGGATATGGCCCTGGAGATGGATATGGCATATTAGGGGTAGGATACTGCCCTCCCATTCCTGGTGCCCAAGGTCCAGAAGACATGGATCCCCATGGACCTAAAGGACCAGCTGCAGCTGGATCTGTGGGTGCACCATATGGTCTAGGTAGCTCTGGAAAGGGCATATTTGGTGTAGGATATGGGCCTGTGGGGCCAGGACCTGGCACAGGTGGGGCTGGATAAGGACCACCAGGTGGAGGGCATGATGGTCCAGAAGGAGGAAAGGGTGCTGGGGGTCCTGGAGGTGGTCCGGTGGGAGGCACAGAAGGATACATTCCTGTTGGTGCTGGTCCAAAAGGCACAGTGGAGGGTGTTGCACTTGGTGGGAGTCCAGATGGCACAGAAGGTGGAGCACTTGGGTTATTCCAAGGGTTGGAACCTGGCCAGCCTTGAGGAGGTTGGCCAGGTTTCGTATTGCTCACAGCAGGAGTTTTGGCAGGGGACTGTTCAGGTAGTGCATCTGCCAACTGGAATACAAAACAGACGTGTCTTATCTTATCTAGGGACAAGTCATACCAAACACTATTATAAACCCATAGAGAATAGTTAGCTATAGGGTCAGGGATTATAAACCTCAACAACATCTTCAAAAGCTAAGCTATTCATTTAATATAAAACTTGAAGTGTTCCTTAAACATCAACTTTATGGTACAAATTTCTCAGAGAAGCTCAATTTTTCTCAATACAACTAATCATACTGTGCTTCATTTCTGTGCTGTATTAATATAACAGACAGTAATTAAAAGGATAGAATTGAGTCAGGATCTGGATTTGAACCCCAGCTTTACCTCAAACAAGTCACATATTCTCACTCAGCTTCAGTTTCCTCATTTTCAAAAATAGTTTGAGGGTTAACTTGAGGCTTAAATGACATAGTTCAGGCAGTGCACTTCAGAGTGCCTGGTACATAATAATTTTCAATAAATACTGGCTATTATTAATACTATCAGGATAAAAGAGAACAATAGAAATAACACCTTAAATTTTTTCATTTAAGGTTTCACAAATAAATACTACAGGAAACATTTTCGAACATGCTATTATCTAAGTAAACTAAGGCAAATCACCCATCGAAATTACATGCCAAAATCCTCCCTCAAGAATCCCAAAAAGAATCCCTTTTAAGTTAAATGACAGTTAGGACCATGTTGTTTTTCTTAAGAACCAAAAACTTATCAAAGATAAACTCATCAACTTACCGAAAATTCATCAGACATTTTCCTAAAAAAAAAAAGAAAGAAAGAAAAGAGAAGGAAAAAAAAAGTTCAAAATCAATATTCATTATTTCTTATATGTTCTTTTAGGAACTTTCTATGCACAGATTATTTCTACTTGAATCTTAATCAATTATGGAATGTGGTTTTTTTTAATATAGGAAAATTTTCTATAATAGTTCATATAGCTCTATCAACTTCATCCTTTTTAATGGCTGCACATCATACAAAAATGATCCATAATTTAGTTTACAGTCTCATTTATATGGCAGTTTAGGTAGTTTTAAATAATGATACAGTGAACATCTTTGAATTTACCTTTGTTCATGTGTGAGAGTCTATCACCAGGAAAAAGCACCAGAAGTGGAATTTACAGAGTCAACAAGTAAGTTTATCTAAAATCCATCTGAAAAGTCCATGTCAGTTTGCATTGTCACCCTTTTCGCTAACTCCTCTTTTACTACTGGATAGTGTTAAATGTAAAATTGTTTTTCATTGTGATCGATTAAAAACTGGCATCTTGTTTATTTTTATTTTTTACTTTTTTAAATAAAGGTTGGTCAAGTGAAGCAGTGGGAGTGGAGAAGGAACAAAGGAATCTGTAACTGGTTGTGATTAACTAGTTATAAACACCACCGCACTCAGACCAACCTGGCATCTTGTTTTAACAGTGGAAAGCAGAACATCTTTTTAGTACCCCATTTATACTGTTTTTGTGAATTCGCTGATGTCCTTGGACCATTTTTGCCAGATTTTTAATTCAAGTATAATTAATACTCCATAAAATGTACAGATCTTAAGAGTTCAAGTTAACAAATTCTGACAATTGTATATGCTCATGTATATGAGATATAGAAAGAACATTTCCATCACTCTTGAAAGTTAACTCATGCTCCTTTCCAATTAGTTGCCATAACCCCAAGTAATCGCTTTTGGAATTTTGGTGGTTCTTTGAGTTTCTTTTATCTGTAGATTCTTAAATAATATTTTATGGTACTATAAAGGTTTTAAATTTCACGTAGTCAAACTCATCAATCTTTCCCTATATGTGGCTTCTGGATTTTGTGACATGTTTACAAAGGCCTTCTCTACTCCGAGATTAAAGAAAATTTTGCCTTACCTTTTTTTTTTTTTTTTTGAGACAGAGTCTCACTCTCTTGCCTGGGCTAGAGTGCCGTGGCGTCAGCCTAGCTCACAGCAACCTCAAACTCCTGGGCTCAAGTGATCCTCCTGCCTCAGCCTCCCAGGTAGCTGGGACTACAGGCACATGCCACCATACCCGGCTAATTTTTTCTATTTTTAGTTGTTTGGCCAATTTCTTTCTATTTTTAGTAGAGATGGGGTCTCGCTCTTGCTCAGGCTGGTCTCGAACTCCTGAGCTCAAACGATCCGCCCGCCTGGGCCTCCCAGAGTGCTAGGATTACAGGCATGAGCCACCACTCCCGGCCTGCCTTACTTTCTTAATGTATTTTCATGGTTTAACTTCTTGTTTAAAATCTTCCAATTATTCCAAACAATAATTACCAAATAATCTATCTTTTCTCAACTAATTGGACAAGCTACCTTTAACACATTCTACTGCTGCTATCGACAACTAGCATTTATTGAATGTTTACCATGGAATAGGCACTATGGCCTATCTCATTTAGTAGCTCCAGAGCTCTCTGTTTAAGCCCCAGAGCTAGTGATAAGTAGAGAAGGGGCTCAGACTCAGTACAGTCTGACTCTAGAGCTTAGGCTCTTAGTAAGGAGGCTATAAAGGCTGCACCATTTCCCATGGGTATTGTGGACTCTATTCTTTTTTACTGATTTGCACTGTACCATTCCATTTTAACTACAGCACCTTTATATTTTAAACAAATTTTAATGTCAGTCACCCTACTATTACTGTAGTTTTTTTCAGATTCTCTGAATATTCTCATTTTGATTTTTTCCAGATCATTTTGTAGAAAAAATGAAAATCTGTTGGTGCTCTGGCTGGAAATGCATTTAATTTACAGATGAATCTAGGGGACATGTCATGTATTTAAAATGTCAAGTCTTCTCATTCAAGAACAAAGTCAGCTGTCCTTGATAACCTAGGGAAATTGGGCCCAGGACCCTTGAAGATACCAAAATCTGAGGATGCTCAAGTCCTTGATATAAAATGGCACAGTACTTGATATAACCTCTGTGCATCTTCCTGTATATTTTAAATCATCTCTAGATTATTTATAACACTTAATACAATGTAAGTGCTATGTAAAGGTTTTACTGTATTATTTTTTATTTATATTTTTATTTATTGAATACACAAATATTCAATATTCACATAGATTCAATATTTGAATATTTGTTCAAGCATTTTCTGTCCGCAGATTGAGAAGCCACAGATACAACCGGCTTTCTAGTTCCCATACTCGTCATTAAGTTTTCTTGATCAGGTCTCCTACACATTTCTTACAAGAGAGAGTTCTATTAAAACTTTTTCTTGTAAATAGACTATTTTCTTCCATTTTCTTCCTCTTGTATTTTCTAACTAGTAGCTCATATATGGAACAAGGTTTCAAAATTTTAATCTATTACAGGTCCTCAAATAACATTTCATTGGACATTATTTTGTTATCACAATGGTGAGGAAAAAAATCGACTCCTAGCCTGGCCACCATCTGTGTGGAGTGGGCACATTCTCATCTGTACGGGTTTTCTCCAATTTCCTGCCATCTCCCAAAGCTGTGCGTGTGAGGTTGATGGCTTGTCTACATGGTCCTACTGAGTGAATGTGGGTGTGAGTGTGACCTGAAATGGGATGGTGTTGTGGTCAGGGCTGTGCCCTGCCTTGCACCCACAGCTGTCAGGAGATGCTCTGGCTACCTGAGATTTTGAACTTGAATAAGTGGGTAAATAATTATTTTATTAATCTTTTATTTATTCATTTTTTTGAAACAGGGTCTTGCTCTGTTGCCCTAGGCTGGAGCACAGTAGCACAATCATTGCTCCCTGCAGCCTGGACTCCTGGGCTCAAATGATCCTCCTGCCTCAGCCTCCCGAGCAGCTGTACTACAGGTACACACCACCACATGTGGCTAATTTTAAAATTTATTTTGTTAAGATGGGATCTCTCTATGTTGCTCAGGCCAGTCTTGAACTCCTGGCCTCAAGTGATCCTCCCTGCTTGTCCTCCCCAAGTGCTGGGATTACAGGTGTGAGCCACTGCTTTCGGCTATTAGTCTTTCTTAAATGTATGTATAGCTCACATTTATTCTATTTTTTTAAATAGGTCATTTAAAGGACTGCATCACATTTATTTTAATGTGTAAAACTGAACATGTTTTGGGTCTTTATTTAGAAGTTTGGTGATGTTTCTGTGATGGGAAATATGCTGTAGAAACCTAACTGATATTTATATCAAGTAGCCTGTGGTAAATTTGGTTTCACTTAAAGTCACAGTTTTCAAGAATGTATGCACTATGTTAAGTGAACACTTACTGCATTACTTTTGTAAGCGGCAACATTACTGAATAATTATTATTATTAGTTTTTTGGAGACAAGGTCTCGCTCTGTTGCCAGGGGCTAGAGCGCAGTGGCATCATCATAGCTCACTGCAACCTCAAACTCCTGGGCTCAAGTGATCCTCTGGCATCAGCCTCCGGAGTAGCTAGGACTATAGATGCGTGCCACCACGCCCGGCTATTTTTTATTTATTTTTTGGTTTTTGTAGAGATGGAGGTCTCCCTATGTTGCTCAGGCTAGTCTTGAACTCCTGGCCTCAAGAGATCTTCACCTTGGCCTCCCAAAGTGCTAGAATTACAGGTGTGAGCCACCGCAACCAGTCTGAATTGAATTATGCCATTTGTAAAAAATAATTTTACCTTCTCTAATATTTATGCCTCTTTCATCTTTTGTATCAGCTAGGACTCAAACAATGAAATGTTAGTGATCATGGGTACGGTGATCTTGTTTCCACCTCTCCTGGGAATGCTTCTAATGTTTAAGTATGATTTTCACTTTTTAGTTTGAGATTTTTACAGATTATATTAAGTACGTTTTTATTTATGCCTATGGTACTAGATTTATTTATTCCTATTTTGCTAGTTAAAATATATTAGAGAAGACACTGAATTTCTTCAGATCTTTCAGTGTCTAATGAGTTGATCTCAGTTTTTCTCCCTTGATCTAACAACAGTTAACTATATTAAAATAGGCTAATTAATATAAAGCCATCCTTGCATTCTTAGGAGTTTTATTTTTAATTATGACTTGGTTATCATAAGGAATGATAAAGGAAGAGAACATGAAGCTTACTAAGTCCAAACTGCTACATCCTTTTTATTCAGAGTATCAAAAAACACACCTTGACTGTACAGCAAACAATCCATTTACTCTCATGTTAAGGTTTTACATTAAAACATCACATCACCCAATAGTATTCTTAGGAGTAATGTTAGAAGAAAGTTTATTAATGAATGGTAAGTTAAAAGTCTACAGAAGTAAGACTGACATGCTTTTCAAACAGGGTGAGCCTTTCTGAAACAGAAAACAGTCCTATATCAAAGTTCATGTTAATTCTGGAGCAGTCAATCTAATGAACTTCATATGGTCTTGCTGTTTAGGTTTTCAGAATTACTTTCTTCCTCTTTGTTTTTGAAAAACATATACACACAGTATACAATTAACTAGTCATAGAATTATATAAAATATAAATTATCCCACAAGTTAATAATATTAAACTAATTCACAACTCTGGCTTTAAACTTTTTTAGTTCAAAATCAAAGTTTGGAAGATAGAGGAGGTGCTAGAATCTTATGATTAAATAATAACGAAGCTGCAACCAAAGGAATCATAAACAAGCTGGGCGTGGTGGCTCACAGCTGTAATCCTAGCACTTTAGAAGGCGGAAGCAGGAGGCTCATTTGCAGTCAAGGAATTTGAGACCAGCCTGAGCAACACAGCAAGACCCCGTGTATACAAAAAAATGGAAAAATTAGCTGGGCGTGGCACATACCTATGCTCCTAGCACTCTGGAAGCTGAGGCAGGTGCAAGACCTATCGCACTACCTTAGTAAACTGACCTGCTCTCACTGCCTAGAATAAACAATGTTCATGTTACAATAGCCCCCTTTATAGTCAATTTCAGTTACCTGTGGTCCAAAAATATTAAATGGAAAATTCCAGTAAGAAACAATTCATGGCAGGGCATGGTGGCTCATGCTGGTGGTAATCCTAGCGTTCTGGGAGGCTGAGGTGGATAGATTGCTTGAGCTCAGGAGTCCGAGACCAGCATGAGCAAGAAAGACCTGCCTCTACTAAAAATAGAAAAATTAGCTGGGCCTCGTGGCATGTGCCTGTGGTCTCAGCTACTTGGGAGGCTGAGGCAGGAGGATCGCTTGAGCCCAGGAGTTGGAGGTTGCGGTGAGCTATGATGATGCCACTGCACTCTACCCAGGCGACAGAGCAAGACTCTGTCTCAAAAAACGAAAAAAACCCAAAACCAATTCATAAGTTTCCAATGGTGTGAGCACCATTCTGGGTGGCATAATGAAATCTTGTGCCGACATGAACCATCCCTTTGTCCAGTGTACCCCACTGTATACACTATCTGCCTGTTAGGTACTTAGCAGGCATCTTGGTTATCACATGGAAAAAACATAGTGTGTATATATATGTAAGGTTCAGTACTATCTTCAGTTGCCATTAGGTGTCTTGTAATATATCCCCCCTAGGATATGGGGGGGGACTACTGTAATTGGAAGCATTTCAATTTGCTTTCTGGGGGATAATTTCATCGGAAAAAGGTAAAAAAATAGAGTTGGACATCAGTGTTTCAATATGAGAAGAATTGTAGAAAGTAAAAAAAATCTAGATTTTCCAAAAAGCTATTCCAAAACATCTGAATTATTGCTAATTATTAAGATGAGGCCAATGTAACCTTGAACTGGTCAGAAGAGTTTATAACCAAGAAAGGTTTTCTTTTTTTTTTTTCCCCTTTCTTTGTGGAGTAATGTAAAGCTATTACTTCCAAAACTTTCCATTACTATTTTATGGTATGATCTACCCAGCACTTGAAAAATAATTAGTTATTTTCTGAGCAAAAAGAGTAGTAATTTTAAAACAGTAAAAGATTTTTTTTGATATATACTAGAAAAGCAAAACATTTTGGTAATTCCTATGGCCTTTAGAGTAAATCCTCCCAATCATTGTGAGGTTTAAGAAAGTTGAACTCCTTAAATTACTAGTGACCTCCAACAAGGAGTATTTCAGAGGGTCATCACATTGTCAAGTGATAAATATGGGACTACACAGTTATGAAAGCTAGACATCAATCCTTTTGACCGAGTCTTTTGTTTTTGTTTTTTTTTGAGACAGAGTCTCACTTTATTGCCCGGGTTAGAGTGAATGTCGTGGCGTCAGCCTAGCTCACGGCAACCTCAAACTCCTGGGCTCAAGCAATCAATCCTTCTGCCTCAGCATTCCGAGTAGCTGGGACTACAGGCATGCGCCACCATGCCCGGCTAATTTTTTTTGTATATATATATTTTTCGTTGTCTAGCTAATTTCTTTCTATTTTTTTTTTTTTTTTGAGACAGAGTCTGGCTCTGTTGCCCTGGCTAGAGTGCCGTGGCGTCAGTCTAGCTCACAGCAACCTCAAACTCCCGGGCTCAAGCGATCCTCCTGCCTCAGCCTCCCAAGTAGCTGGGACTACAGGCACATGCCACGAGGCCCAGCTAATTTTTTCTATATATATATTTTTAGTTGTCCAGATAATTTCTTTCTATTTTTAGTAGAGACGGGTCTCGCTCATTGCTCAGGCTGGTCTCGAACTCCTGACCTTGAGCGATCCGCCCGCCTCAGCCTCCCAGAGTGCTAGGATTACAGGCGTGAGCCACCGCGCCCGGCTTGACCGAGTCTTTTGACAAAGGCAAGCTTCTTAACAAGAGACCATTTTCCCGTCTGTAAAACAGCTATAATTTCTGGCTGTCTCACAGATAATTAAAAGTAACACACTTAATAATCTATAAGGTGCTATGCAGATGTAAGATATTTATTAAGAGAAACTAAGGGAAATCAGGATTTTGCATTTAGTAAGGGGAGGGAGGATGATGGTATGTATTGCATTGAAAATATAAATTCTGTATTAGATTACATAATAATTTTTAGTATTTGGCTCATTCATCTAATTAAGTTCCATTTTTTACATTTGGGTAACTCAAAAATTGAGATTTTGAACGTTTTTGAACACTTCAAATTTCCAGTACAGGTTGAGCATCCCAATCTGAAAACTCGAAATGCTCCAAAATCTGAAACTTTTTGAGTTTTCCTTTGATATGATGCTTAAAGGATATGTTCATTGGAGCATTTAGGATTTTGGATGCTTAAATGGTATAATGCAAATATTCAAAAATAAAAAAAAAATTCAAAATTGAAAACACTTCTGCTCCCAAGCATTTCAGATAAGGGATACTCAACCTGCAAAATTTTTTACATTTATTCACATACTTGTTGGAACATATGTGCCAGGCACTGTGTTGGGCTTTGGGGAAATTAGAAGTATTACATGGAAATTCCTGAGAAGTGGTGTCTCTGCAGTCCAGAAAAACAATAAAGAAAAAGCTGGTGGGACAGGCCCTAAGGAAACTAAGGAAAAGAGAACAGTTAGGGTAAAAGCTCGGAGAATCCGTGGGAAGCATAAGGAGTTCAGATTGGATGGCATATAGCAAGAAAGGGAAGCGGTCTGAAAGTCTTAGTAGAGAGACCTGAGACTAGGGTTTGAATCATTTAACTTAATACTCAGCTTACCTGAATGAACCTCAATTTCTTCAACCATAAACAATGGGCCAATAATGTTGGCAGGGACTAAATGGAACTCTGCCCAATCAAGTGCCTAAAACAGTGCTTGACTGGGAAACATTCCAAATTCTAGTCTTCCTTGGTATATAAGCATATAGCATACAGTTAAAAGAGTGAATGTTCTGCAGCTCTTCACTGGCCGGTTCAACTCCGGACAAATCTAAGTCTCCAAACTTCAGAGGTAAAGGAAGATGGGAATAATATCTACCTCACAGATTTGCTGTGAGACTTACATAATAAATAAACAAATCTCACTGTCACTGCCTGGCATATAACAAAAACTCAACAAACCTCAGTTTCTATAATCGCTATTAAAGGCCCATAAAACTTTATCTGCCATTCTCAATCTGGAAACCTACGAAAATGAAAGAAACTTTTCCAAGTTTGGCATAAAACTTATTTAGTGGTAAAATCTGACCTGCAGCTATTTATAATTTCTATTAATCCCTACTTAGAATGAATATTCACACCTACTGCCATACAAATATTAATGTTGATTTACTGGGTGCCTTGACTCTGCTGGGGGGTGTTATCTCCCATCTATGTAATATATTCCTTTCCTAAAATATAAAGATAAAATCCAAATATTTATGAATTCCAGGACACACTGGCCACAGGATTTCTGTTAAGAGACTGGGGACGAGTATTACCCATTCCTCCTCGAGAGAGGAAAAGAACATTCCAATACATGCAACTCAATTCAAAAGTTTCTGAAACAAACTAGCTTTGCATAGTGGTCTCTGAGAAGCCAGCAGCAAAAAAATTTCTATTCTTGCCCAAAGAACACTATTGAACAAAGAACTTCTGAAATATTTCTGAAGGCTACCTTTGCCTGTAATAAGGGTTCATTTTCAAAACAGGCCTTTACAACCACCGGGCGGCTGTAATGCTAAAATAATTTTTAGCAGTAATGGTAAAAAAAAAATGTTTTTCGGTAGAGTCTGGTTTGATGCTTTAAATATTAGAATCTTTATTAAAGCAGTAACCTTGGTTTTCAACGTAAAGAGGAAAACGGTTCAGCTATTTATAAGCTATCGTGCATGTGCTCCTAAATCCTAAAATAATAGACTATTATTACAGAACTCAGCACTTCTCATAGTTTGTCCTCAGTATTCGCCTAATGCATTTGTGAGCAATTCTACTAAATAACAACCAGAACGTACGTCACATTGCGGATTACTTTAAACAAGCGTCAGAGATTCTCGTAAGAATCTATTCGGGCCTTTCCCTTTTCATTAGAGATTAATGAATGGGTGTAACCGGGGGATCAGGGTCAAGGGGCCCAAGGACGACACCCCCCATATAAGCAAACGAACAAAGGGAGTCCAGGATCAACCGGAGCGAACCGGCCTCTGAGCGGGTCGCGCCCGCCCGGGGAAGGGGTGGGGGAGGGGCAGGCCCGTTCCCGCCCCGCCCCCTAGCCAGGCCTGACGTCAAGCACAGAAAAATCCCTCGGGCGCGACATCAGCGGCCTCCGACGCCTTCTCCCTGGGGGGCGATCGGGAGGCGCCCCGCAGCGCGGAGGAAGATGACCCAGACAACCGCTCAGTCCCAGCCCCCAGGGAGGCGACCACGGCCCAAGCAGTGAGGTGACTCGAGACACCTCTGTTACTGCCCCCGCTTGGCCGCGCCCGCCAGCCCCGCAACCCCAGCTCCCTGTGCCTCTCCACGACTTCCACTGGCACCGAAGCAGCCTCACCCAGTAAGATCCAAGCCCGCAGCAGGGTCTAGAAGCGGCGATCGGTCCCAGCAACGAGGCGCAGAAGAATCGGGCGCAGGCTGACTGACGGCAGCGGCGGCGGCAGCTGCAGCACCACTAGCGCGCGGCTCCTCCTGGCGCCGGAACAGGAAGCGCCGAGCGCACCGCCTCCTCCCGCGCTCCCCTCCCCTCGGTGCGGGCCGCGCGCGCCCCCCGCCGGCCCCCGGCGGTACTGCCACCGCCGGCCCCATACGCCGGCCCAGGCTATTTTCTGTTGGTGGGCGGGCGGAAGGACTCCGAGAAAACGCCGGTGGCCTGGGATCTTCAGGGCAGCTGGGCGGAAATTGCTAACTTGTTGCCTTGAGCGGTTTGAGGGCAGATTGTGGCTTCTCAAACTCAGTGGTTGTACATCTAAACCTCGAAGCACGTTGGGTTGGATACAGATTTCTGCCCGTCCCGGGAACCAGACTCCTGGGCCAAAAAGTGGGGAGAGGTAAAGATCAGTGCAGGAAAGGGAGGACTTTTGCAAATCGCTTGACAAATTGGTATTTGCTAAAAGAAATTGATATTTGCTGTCTGTGCAGATATTTCCTGATCGAGAGACCTCTTTTCCCCACTTTTTTTTTTTTGAGAAGCTGGCCCTGAGCTTTTGAGTTCAGGCGATCCTCCGCCTTCAGCCTCCCTATTAGCTAGGACTCAAGGCCGGCCGCTGTGCCTGGCTTCCTACCTTCATTTTTGAATAAGTATCAAGTACCTCCTGTGTCAGGCCCAGATGATTGACACATGGCCTCAGCCATCAATGAACGGAACCTTCACTGTAGTGACTATGTCATAATTATATGGTGTGCAAAATATATACATGTTTCTATATATAAAAATATCTTCAAAGTATATAGTTAAATTTTGCTTCTTTGTGTAAGCCGTTAGTGGGGTCAGTGGGTGGACATGTAACTATGAACTTCTTGAAGACATCCCTCGATATGCTCCGCAGCACATATAATTCTTACAGTGAAAAAGATGCAATAGAGGAACTTACAATACCTAAACTAGGTATTTGAAGGACGTATTTTTGGATAAGGGTACAATACAAGTCTATGGAAAATTACACTAGTACTGCCTTGTCCTCATTGGAGGCAATGAATTATCAGTGCCTTGTGCAGCCATATTGAAGCCTGAGGCACCAGAAAGTTAGGTCTTGATTTAAAATTGGGGTCTTGTTCATCATAGTTTTTTGCATCAATTCCAATTTTAGAATATTGCACCAAAAATATTAGCTTCCTTACTGAGTCTTTCAATAAAATTTTTTTCCCCCAGGTGGAGTGCCTTGCTCACTTTACCCTAGTCCTGGCCTTGTGTACCAGTAATGGATAGCCTCCAGCTTTTCCCCGTCTGCAACCAGCCAATAATTGAGCATGGTAGGGTTTCTAGATCCAGGCCATTCCTCTCCCATGTGGACTTGCCTACAGACAACTTTTGCTTGGGAACTTAATTGCTCATCTAAATCTTTCCCAGAACTGCACTGCAGTCTGAAGCCCCCTCTACTCTATCCAGCCTTTCACAGGGGTCAGATTTGCAATGTGATATGAGGACTTCCCCACCTTCTCCTGCTCCCCTCTCCCTGATATCCTTCATAGGTGTTTCACCCCAAATCTCTTGTACGTCTAATCACACCTTGGCATGTGCTTCTGCAAGACCCAAACTGATTAACACTGAAAACCAAAAGGAATGTACCATAAATTAGAACATGTGAAGGAATATAGATTTTTCAACTCCTCTTTTTCAGATTCTAAGTTCAATGTGTGAGGTAAGGACATATGTTTCTAAAACAAAACACAAGGCCTTTGGACTTTATATATGAAGTTTTAATTAAGAACAAATGAAAATTTATTTAGATCAATTTACTTGAACTCACATCCAAGAAGAAACATTCAACTTCAGGATTAGAAATAAAAGTGGAAATAGTCTACTTCTTTTGGGGTAAGGGGTAGATCATACAAGCCTGAATGAAAGTGAATTTGTGAAGTTACTAAACTCTGTATATTCAAGTATGTATCAGCTTTCTACTTGGCTTACACAGAATTTATCCAATTCTAGAAAAGTCAGCATAATTTGAGTAAACTTCCTTGAGTTTTACACCATGGCTCTCAAGTCTGAAAGCTTAGATTTGATTATAACCATGGCAAACGTGATTATCTTTATTTCCTGCAAATGTAATCAACTTTAAAAATAAGTTAGGCAAACATCAATTTTACATAGACCATCATATGAAGGGTAGGAGGAAATTGCAGTTCATCTAATTGCAGAATCTAAACCATAAATTCAAATTGTACTGTTATCTCTACTGTTAAATCAAGCCAAGAAAGTCGATTACAGACTCAAGGAAGTGAAAGTGATTCTGCAGGGTCCACTGCGGAGACATTCTGAAAACCTATCATCACATTAATACTTAATGGCTGTACAGCAATTATTTTCAAGTATGCTCTAAGGGTCGTCTCTTATCGAAGAATTAACAGGAAGTCAGGTGACAAGTATTAACACCTACATTTTATAGGAAATGAAGGCAAAGCACGATTTAGAAAGTAAATTAAAAACAGACTTTGGCTTTATTTGAAATAGGATTCATGTGCCCTAAATCCCTTTCTATTGGGTTATATCATTAATGTACATTTCTACTTACAAGCCAATCGATTTTAAAAAGTTACCTTCACTTTGTGTCCAATATCTTAATGCATTAGAATAGTATCAATGGATTCTTGTAGCACTGCTCATTTCTGATTGTTGAAACAAAAATTGTAAAGATTTTTTCCCCCAAAGTAGAAACAATAATTTGCTTGATTTAAAATCTTCTCTTCATTTGGGCATTAAGTTACCTAACATTACACAGGCTATTTTACATTTAAACATTGTTTTCCTTGCGTTATCTCCAGAAATGTCTTATAATTATATAAGTCTACTTTCCTGTGAAATTTACTCTACCAAAATCAATACATAAGGTGTTTATTGGATTCTGGTTATAGCTAAAATGACAAGAAATAATTTTAATGAAAAGTAAGAGTATACTTATAGAGTTGGATCTCAAGGTTTTTGTTTCATAGGAAGGAAGCTCTCTATTACATGGATCTATAAAATGATCCAAACTTTAGAGACAGGAAGCTGATAACTTGATCTATCTTCTTAATGGTTTTGACTCATGAATAAATGATAATGATTTATGTGTTTTTCTTATAAAAAGAAATAGAATTAGTATAATGAGTCCTATTTGCCACATTTATTCTACTTTTTAAAGGATTTCTAATTATGACATTCTTTATATTATTTATAATAAATAATAAGACAAAACTTTAACTGAAAGCCATTCTTTGACCACAGTTGGCCATTAGCTGAATTCAGGAAAGAACACAGGTTTGATCACCAAATCAATAAATCTAGCCACAGGCTGACTAAAAGCTTCCTTTAATCTTCTTCCTATTAGGCCTTCCTAAATTAAACCATTGCCTCTATGAATTATTTAAGTGAATGGCATGGTTACTATAGAAAGATCACATATGACTCTTCATACAAAAATGCTCAAGGAACCTAAAAAAAAATTCATTCAGTTTATCTCAGAAATTATAGTATGAATCAAGATGCTGCAGGTTTAAAAAAAATGGGGAGGAGGTATGTCCTGAAAAGCTTCAAAGAAAAATAGAAAAGTCAAGTTTATTTCCTGATTAGTGCAGGCTGATTCCCAAAGTGCAGTTAAGTGTCTGGTCCAGACTAGCTATTAGCGATTAAGTAGTTCCCTTTCATTGTCAAGGCTTTTCCCTGTGGTAATGCCTAAATTCTTAATTTTAATATTTTATCTTGTTTCTTTTAGCTCCATCCTCTCTCAACAATAAGCTCTACACATTTCCACCATACTGTATGCTTTCTCAACTCTGGAATTTGCACTTTTCAAATGTTCCCAATGTCCAACTTAGAGTTACAAAACTCAAACAGTATTTAGATATATTTATATCTCCCCACACTGTCCCCTCAAAACTTACTCATCTTTAGTCCAATAAATACATTTTTTACATTTTTATGAGTTAATTTCTGAATACTGGATGTTCTTCCAAATATATTCTCACAAAAACACAGAGAAAGGGGATAACCTTTCTAAATTCCAATCCCTTAATGTTTAAAAAATTAACCATTACTCTTTCCTTTTCCCTTCATGGTAAACAATTCCCTCCTCAAGTCTTTAAATTTCTACTTCCAAATTTCTTTTCATTGTAACAAATACCAAAGGAAAAATACAAATCATTTCATAGTAAATGAGTCTCTTTCCTGCTCTCATTTATTAGATTATCTACTTCAAGGCTACATATATGGCAGTATTTTGAAAGTGTTAACAGCTGTTAAAATCTTGAAATTGAAAAAATAACAAAGCCAGAGAAAATATATCACAAGCAATTAGTCTGAATTATATGAAAAGCTACTTAGATCTTGACTTTCATATAAACACTAATTTTTACTACTATAAAAGACAACATAATTATATTTCGTTTTTCTTTATAAAACTATACTTTAACAGAATATTCATAAGCTAGTCATCCTTTAAGGTTTTTCTGTACTGATAAAAAGTTGCTTTTAAAAGAAAAATATTTAAAATAATTGTTTCACAGAAACAGAAAGTCTTATCAAATTCTGATAAAAAAACTATAATCATGGGTAGACTCTTACCACACTATTAATTTTCTTTCATCAAAGATGGATATTTAGGAAGTGGTATATTGGTTAATTAAGCTTCTCAGTGATCTACAAAAGTGCCACAATAAAGATGAGGTAGTATGAGACACTTCTACCTTTGTAAAACATAAATATCATCTTTAGAAGAGACATTTATCCTGACATTGGTGCTGTCATATCCTGAGCCTCATCATGTTGAGAGGTGCTGTTTTTGTAGCTACCCCTCACTGAGACCAAGACAATCTTGAGATCACTGAGAAAAAAAATACTAGAAGATAATGGTAACAGGGAGTTTCCTGATTTAATTTTGTGATAATTGCTAAAAATTTATTTTAAAGATATTATTGAAAAATACCATCTTTGAGTTAACAGTAGAACTGCAAGATAGGGAAATGCTACTTCACATAAAAGCAATAATTAAGAAATATTTGTTCTAACTTGGAAATTTATGAGTCAAATTTCTTTCCATCCAAGTAGAAGCAGTTTCCTAATACAGCTAAACTAGTATCAAAGAAGTCAATTACTATATTAAAAATGCCAATCTGTACAAAGGGGTAGACAGCTCATCAGAAGAAAAATTGAGCGATCTATCTAGATTTACTATTATTCATTGACTCTTTTAAAAAATAAGTTAGATAGGATACCACTCCATTTATCTCTACTAGTTACATTGGACTAATGTTTCTAAAAATGCTGCCCTGTTCTTGGGATAGTAAATTTAAAATATTACCCATTTTGTCCAGTACTGTTCTGTATGGCATAAGCCATGTAGCTGTAAAAAAGCTTTCTTTTTTTGAAGCCAATTCTAACAACAGGAATAATTATTTAGAACTTGTAGATCAAAAAGAATATTAAGCTTCCTGAACACTGAATTCCACGTTTATTTATTCAATCTTTACTCAAGTTCAACTTAAAATAATGAAAAAAGACTTGGGTATTCTTTGGTTACCAGTGTAAATTTGTGGCTGCTTATAAATTGTAGAATTTCCCCAAAGTAACAGGCTCTGAGTTTCTATAAAAGGGCTAAGTAGAAGCAATAGTTCATAAGTTAATACAGAAAAAACCTACAGTTGCTTTAGTACTTTAGTAACTATTAGCTACTAATGGTATTATCATTATTTTTAATGCTTCCAATGAGAATGGAACAAAATTTATGTTTTGAAGATGGTTTAAGTCTTCCAGGTTAAGAAAGACCTACTCAAGAATAACAAATAACTCTGCCACATTATAGAAGAATAAAAACCAGAATGTTTTCTTTTGATTCTCATTGACCAGATTAATTAAATTTAGTAATCCTGCTTTATAGTTATATTTCAAATGAAAACATACCAAGTTTGACTTTAAACCATTCTGTTACATTTAGCATCCCTATTAGTAAGTTAACAGAAGTCAATTACATTAGTATGGATAGTGAATTACAACACTCAGCTTTACCGAAGAATTTTAAAACTCAATGAAAAGGGGGATGGAGAAACTATATTTTATGCATAGGAATACTGATGACATATATTAACAAAATGTTTTACATGTAGGAAAGGAGTAAGATTATTTTTTAAAGCATGAAATACAGAATATTCAAATGTGCTGGCAATGCCTACCAAATTTCAAATATGCCAAGAGTATGTATAAATTAAGGAAAAGAAAAAATTTAAGTATACACTCTTCATGGTAAAAACAAAAACCAAAGACCTGGTTAAAAATATCTATTAACCTCTAGTGTATAACCTTAAACAATTAGTGTATCATAAAAGAAAAACTGATCTTGAAGTAAAATTTAGGGCAGGTTTAGACTCCGCTGCCTTTGTAGAAAAAATTAAAGTGGCATAATAAGAAAAATATTAAATGAAAATATGCATACAATCATTTCCATGTTCCTATCCTTATCCTAGCATTGTTGTTCTGGCGCATCAATCCTGAGTACTCTAACTTTTGATTTATAATGATATTCCTTTAGATATAATTTCATAGAAGAAGGAATTGGAAGGGCATCAATGCCATCATAAGTTGTACAGTTACAAATAACTGTTCTGCATATATGCTGCAGGGAAAAGGGGAAAGTCCGAATTAAAGGAGTGGACAGAAGTGGTTCGAAGAACATACAGGCGCTCGGGTCCTTATAATGTTCTAGGAGCCCAGTAATATCAGGAGAATGGAAGACACAAGGATCATGTGCATCAAAGCTAAAGTTGTGATTCCATTGTTCAATTCTAGCATGAAGAGAACGACTGTAGCGTCTAAAACTAACAGAGAATAAATAGTCTTCCTGTGCTGAGTCTCGAAGTAAAAAAGTACCCTCTGGTTTTCCTTCTAGTAGAGCTTCAGCTGCATATTTATCCATAACTCCCCAGTAACATGGATTGTTATTGATCTGAAGGAGGTCTGGCACAAGACAGTGGACATAATCAATCTGGGTGTGGTACTTAGGAGGTGTTTCCAACTGCAGGATTTCATCATCTAATTCCCATTTGGGCTTGTTTCTTTTTCTGGAACTTGTGCAAAGTGTTATAATTTCATCATCTGAATCCATATCACTATCTTCTATACTGTTACTTGAAACTAGGTTCATCACAGAGCCAGGCATAGGACCTCTACACGAAGCACTGTTGGTGGTTATAACACAGGGCTGAACATTGGTATGTGAGAAACAGTTTACATCTTCTTCCATGTTTCTTCTTTGTTTTAGCTGACCATCTCTCAATTCACTCTGAGACAAGTCTGTGCTTACCCATTCATCTGATTTGGGATTTATAGGAGCAGTGTGTCGTTTAATAAAATGCCACCTAAAGGCTAAATCTGATCGAGGTGGGAAAGGACACTTATCTAACATGAGTTCACTGATATGAATTTTTCTTTTAGATGGAAGCCCTGAAGAGTGCCGACTACTACAATTCTTTATGGGAAAACACTGCCCCACAGCATCTTGCAGCTTCTGTTTAAGAGATCGACCTAAAAATCTATGCCCACAGGAATGATCTAAGTCCAACTCGATAGACGAACAGCTGTGCTTCCTTTCTTGGCTCCTTAAAGAACCTTCAGTTTTCTCTACAGTATTTACTGTTTCAGCATCTGAACAACTCTCGCTCTTTTTTGACCAAGATAACTTCTTTCCACTCCATACATAACCATCCCTTCTGTCAGCACTTCTACTCCGACTAGTTTTGGGCCTTACATCTACATTTTTACTATTATTTTCATTATTTTCTGCCATTTTAACAAATTATCCACAAATTCCAATGTTATAAATACGTCTTTTTCAGTTTTTCCAGCAGGAAGTTTCTTCTGGGCACTTTCTGGATGTATCTAAGGGGAAAAAAAAAGTCATTAACCATTTGTCATCCACCTTGTATAGTTATTATATACATATTAAGCCCCAATTAGACATAAGATGAAAAAGCATAATTAGTACATGAAAAAAATAAGAGTTTGTTGGATATGTTGGAAGGCAATCCCAAGATATTTTGTTCCCACTTAAACTGTTTTCCCATATACTAACAGTTTCATAGTGTCATAGAGTAAAGAGTCTGAGTTCCTTTCCCATAACTAATTTTCAGCGTGGGTCAGAAGAAGACAAGCCTCTTTTATCAACCATAATATATGCTCAACTGTGAATAATTTCTAATCTTGAAGTATATGTTATGCCCATTTCTCCTAACCACATTTTTCTTATTTCACGACAGACCAGGGAATTCTTTGTAGGAGACAGTCACAAATCTATGAGCTGGTGTTTGAGAACCACTACCCTATGGTTTCATCACCTCTCTCTCATTTCCTTTCCTATTGATTAAAATGTGAACAATTTTAAGTTGTAAAGCTGTAAGAATTTATCAAGTAAACAATCACCACCAAACAGTAGAAATGCCAACCAAGCATTCTCAATGCAGTGTTGTCAATTCATTTCAATAACTGGTCCACTTCACTATCAGTCTAGGCAGTAGGCAGTTTGTAGAAAATACGAAATTGGATAAAAATTTGGCATAATTTTATGCACATCTCCCTTGTATTCTTCTTTTTAATGGAGAAAAGACATATGAATTTATTAATGTACACACAGGGAGAACCACAAAGTGATTACCCCAACTCCCAATGGGGTTCAAAAGTTTATATGCCATCTTGAGGTTACAAAAAAAATGAGCACTCAGAACATGGCCAAAATCAGGTTAGTAGTAAATCAGATTACAGTGTTAAGATAGGTTTTGGGAGAGAGAGAAGAGAGGTTTGGCTAGCAAAGTTGTTCTTGTTATGTAGATGAAACCTCTCAGGAAGAATAGATGGTGAATGTTTCCTTCAGAACTTTAAAGGTGTCAGACTCTCAGTTAATTTGTCCTAGATCTGGACAAGGGAAAGCCTCAGAGGAAACCTTGCTCTACCAGTGCAGATTTCTCTATAGATATAAATCTCTCCCACAAGAGACTGATTTCAGGGTTACTTCTATTTGCTGGCTTTCTCAGCAGTCATCTCAAAATATGTCAAAGAAATATCTTTTGGGGTAAAATATTTTGATTTCCTTCAGTCCCCACTTTAAAAAAATTTCACAGATATTAAAAGCCAAGTTGATAGCTTTGGAGAGATCTCTCCCTTGTATTATTTTTTTTTTTTTTGAGACAGAGTCTCACTGTGTTGCCCGGGCTAGAGTGCCGTGGCATCATCCTAGCTCACAGCAACCTCAAACTCCTGGGCTCAAGCCATCCTTCTGCCTCAGCCTCCCGAGTAGCTGGGATTACAGGCATGTGCCACCATGCCCGGCTAATTTTTTCTATATATTTTTAGTTGTCCGATTAATTACTTCCTATTTTTAGTAGAGACGGGGTCTCGCTCTTGCTCAGGCTGGTCTCCAACTCCTGAGCTCAAACAATCTGCCCGCCTCGGCCTCCCAAAGTGCTAGGATTACAGGCGTGAGCCACCGTGCCCAGCCTCTCCCTTGTATTCTTGATCATTTGAAAACAAGCAGATGAATTTCTAAAGGACAAAGCTTTTCTATCAGTCTAGGCACTTTTTAGAAAATATGAAATTGGATAAAAATTTGGCATTTTATACATATACTCCCTTGTATTCTTCTTTTTAATGGAGATATGGAATATATGAAGTTGGCAAGATATACTAGAATTCACAATGTAAAATACTGAGTTTCACAGAGACTAATGGTAATAATAATTGATCACAGATGGAATTTACTTAAGTATTCTTATGTGTAATAAAATTTAAGCCAGGAATTGGGGGGAGGAGCTTTATTATCACAAATGAAAGCTGAATTTTGTGATTGAAAAAAAAAATCAGTCACACTGAACATTCTAATTAAATTTCTGATTATGTTGGAGGAATATTAAAAATCTCAACAGTCAAGTAATGTCTATAGACACCTGAATCCACTTTCAAAGTAGTAGGATTTGAAACAAGCATCTATATTGGCAAATATGGTTGGCAAGTGCTTAAAACTGTGGACTAATGGGCTAGCTGCGGTGGCTCACATCTGTAATCCTAGCACTCTGGAAGGCCAAGGCGGGAGAATAACTTGAACGAGGAGTTCAAGACCAGCCTGAGAAAGAGTGAGACCCCTCTCTCTATGAAAAATAGAAAAATTAGCTGCCTGAGCAAAAGTGAGATCCTCATCTCTACTAAAAATAGAAAAATTAGCTGGGCATCATGAAATGCACCTGTAGTCCGAGCTACTCAAGAGGATGAGGCAGGAGGATCGCTTGAGCCCAGGAGTTTGAGGTTGCTGTGAGCTAGGATGATGCCACTGCACTCTACCCAGGATGACAGAGTGAGACTCTCAAAAAAAAAATAAATAAATAAATAAAAGGAAAGCAGGTATCATAAAAAAAAATTGTGAACTAATGATAAAGACTCACCATATATAGTACTCCATTTCTAAATACTGAATAGCATCTGGTGATTGTAGTTATTACAATTGGCCCTCCGTATCCATGGGTTACCCATCGTGGATTGAACCAACCTCAGATAGAAAATAAACCCAGAACAATAAAAAAAATACAAATAAAACCCAATATGGTATAAAAACTATTTACATAGCATTTACATTGTATTAAGTATTGTAAGTAATCTAGAGATGAATTTTTTTGGGGGGACAGGGTCTTGCTATGTTGCCTAGGCTGGTCTTGAACTCCTGGGCTTAAGCAATCCTCCTGCCTCAGCCTCCCAAGTAGCTGGGATTACAGGTGCATGCCACCATGTCTGGCTTGTGGAGATGATTTAAAGTACACGGGAGGACACGCATAGGTTGTGTGCAAATATTACTCCATTTTTATATAATGGACTTGAGCATCTGTGAATTTTGGTATCTGTGGAGGTCCCAGAACCAATTACCTGAGGATATCAAGGGACGGCTATATTTTGATTTATTGAACTCACTAGCATATAATCCTTAGGGAAAAATTATTTATCTTATTTTAAAAGAAAGATTATATTCAACAGCATTGATCTAAATTCCACTGAACAAAAGTAAGTAGAAGCAACAAGGTAGGCTAAAGAATATAAAGAGTAGGCCGGGCACGGTGGCTCACACCTGTAATCCTAGCTCTCTGGGAGGCCGAGGCGGGCGGATTGTTTGAGCTCAGGAGTTCGAAACCAGCCTGAGCAAGAGCGAGACCCCGTCTCTACTAAAATTAGAAAGAAATTAATCAGACAACTAAAAATATATAGAAAAAATTAGCTGGGCATGGTGGCGCATGCCTGTAGTCCCAGCTACTCGGGAGGCTGAGGCAGGAGGATCACTTGAGCCCAGGAGTTTGAGGTTGCTGTGAGCTAGGATGACGCCACGGCACTCACTCTAGCCCAGGCAACACAGTGAGACTCTGTCTCAGAAAAAAAAAAAAAAGAATATAAAGTGTCATTTATTAAGGTTTAAAATGCCTGGTGCTTTTATTTACTAAATAAATATCAGTAGCAGTTTATTAGATGTATGAATAATTTTACTCCACTGAGTGTGAGCTCCCTAATCTTGCCTCCTTGCTATCTTTAAACCGTGGTGTTTCTTCCTTCACTTCCATATCAGAGCTAAGCTCTCTACCTCTGTTCTTGACATTTTCACCTTTACCAGAGCCTGGCTTCAATCTCTCTCTCTCAAACCTTCTCGCTACCTAAAAAAATAACTAAGTCTTCTTATAAAATCTTTCAGTGATTCTAATGCTTCCTTAGTCATTACTGTTTCTTTCAATTCCTAAATTTCTTAATGAGCAGTGAAACTTGATTTCCCCCCAAGATGAGAACAGCTTTTTAAATTTTTTTAATTATAAAAGAAATAATTACTTAGAAATTGTGGTTGGAAAATGGCTGGATGAAAATCTTTTTGCCCCATCCTTCTCTCAGAAGTCAGCCCAAAACAACAAGGAAAAATGAGAAATAATACCACAAACCTCGTCTGCAATGAAACTAGCAGATATCTATGACATGAGTCATGAAACAGGACAGAAAATGAATGGAGGAGGAATAACTGACTCAGCAGTGGAGAGGCAGGTGACACCAGGCACAGGGGTGACATGGATAACAAGCAAACCAACAGAGCAGGCAAAGTTCAGGACCCACAGGCACTAGATGCTTCAGAAAGTGCAGGTGGAGAACAAGGTAGAAAATGGGGAGGTCAGCTGAGATTCCAGACACAGCAGAGGATAGAGGGGAGGCCAGGGACTAAAAACAGAATGACTAAATAAAAAGTTCCTTGCTCCTTTCTTCCATTCAGCTCTTAGAACTCCAGCAGCCAGACTTATACCTCCCTAATAGGAGAGTGAAAGATAACTTTCCTGGAGAAACAGAATGGCCAAAGAGAAAAGAACCACTGATGCTGATAGCTGGGAATCCTCCAATAAAAAGCTGGATGGCCACCCAAGCACACAGTGAAGCTCACGTGTCCAAAAGCCTTGCCTACTCACAAACAGCTTTCCAGGCAGCATAGTGTGCACTCTGGAATATGAATAATACTCACAGGTCATCAGACTTTCGAGGCAAGCTTCTAACACAAATGGGGAAAGACCAAAATACACAGAAATTGGAGAAAATAGTAACCACAGAAGGAGTAGAAAATAAAAATTGATTTATTTCAAGGTAAGAGACAATATTAAAACTATGAATGAGTAAGATGCTACAAAAAAAGGAGTGGAGGATAACAAGAGAATAACAAAGTTTTATTCTTCCCTATTCAGGCATTTAAAAAAATAAAAAAGAAAGTTTAAAAAATATGATTGCTGAAATAAAATATTCAACAGAAAAGTTGGAGGGTAAGTTGAGGAAGTAATACAGGAAATAGAAAAAAAGGGTTAACTAGACAGAAAAAAAAATTGAGGGTCAACACAAGCATTTTGTAGAAAACAGGAAAATTAAGGGGAGAAATTATCAAAGAAACTGTATGAGAAAATTTCCCAGAACTAAAGGACATGAGCCTCCATATCAAAAGAACCCACTGAACACTAAAGTATATTATTCTAAAATTCTGGAAGCCTAGAGATAAAGAGGAGGTACTAAGTCTTCCTGCGAGGAGAAAAAAGTTATAATTAAAGGACTGCAAATTGGCCGGGCTCACATCTATAATCCCAGCACTTTGGGAGGCCAAGCAGGAGGATGGCTCAAGCCCAGCAGTTCAAGACCAGCCTAAGCAAGAGTGAGATTCCATCCCTACAAAAAACAGAAAATTTAGTTGGGCATAGTGGCATGCACCTGCAGTCCCAGCTACTCGGGAGGCTAAAGCAGGAGGATTGCTTGAATCCAGGAGTTTGAGGTTGCAGTGAGCTGTAATGACAACACTGCACTCTAGCCCAGGTGACAGAGTGAAACACTGTCTCAAAAAAAAAAAAAAAAAAGACTGCAAACAGAATGGCATCTTATTTCTCAGCAACAATAGAACCTAGAGGTTAGTTTCCTTCCTACCTTAAAGAAATAACACCAAACTATCAATCAAATATTAGGATAAACTAAAGAAATTTTCAGATGTGCAAAGTATTGACAATTTTACTTCATACTTAATGATGTGCTTTTCTGAAATTAGGATGTAAGCTCCCAAAAAAGACATGCAACAGATTAAACAAGACATTCAATACAGGAGAGAAATGAAATGTGAATTCTGGGAAGGATGAAGAAGGGAAGTGGAGGAGGTGGTGTATCTGGAGGTGCTAGAGAGCACTCCATACAACCACACAAGGATGTAAGGCTCCAAGGTAGAAGATCTTGAGGGGAAAAAAACGGAATTGACTTTTACAAAGTTCAACTGAAAGGACAAGAATACAAATGGGAAAATAATTATGTAATAATTCAATACAGAAAAATTCTAAAATTACACAAGAAAACAGAATTGTAAAACTACCTGCTCAGGAGTGAATGATATTTACATGTTCATCAAAATTGTGCTATAATTGTACTAAGAGGATGGAGAAAGGAGGATAGAAGTAAATTCTTATAAATCATAAGAGGAACTCAACAGATGTCTAAAAATTAATGAATCAAGAAACGAGCATATTATTTAGAAATATGAAAGTAAATACCAGAAAAACAGAAGATTTGAAAACAGATGCCTTTGGGATGGGGTAGGAGGGGACTGCAGCATTTTTTAGCTTATCTAAGCCTGTCAGCTCAATTTAATTTTTCACTCAGGTGTACATTATCATTTTGATGTACATAAAAATAAGTGAGAACTATCCATAATCCCACCACACCACAATAACCATTTTAATATTCTCAATATCTCTATAAACATATATGATATGGATGCAGTTCCACAGTGGAGTGATATTGGGTATTAGAAACATGATTTGAGTCCAGTTTCTGATTCGTACCAGCCATATGACCTTGGAACCTCTGTTCATCCACCTGTGAAATGGAGGTTCTGATGCTATCTATTTCATTGGGCTGGTGGGGATGAAATGAAATAATGCATATAAAGTAGTCTACTCAGATCCTAAATATATTAAGTACTCAATAAATGTTAACATATATCCTCATTTAAAAAAATAAACAAAAATTAGATAATATTGTTTTGTTAAAGCACCAGTTTTTTTTTTTTGGTGGGGGAAGGGAAACCAGTAAGACTGCACCCTCTCTCCCTCTTACTTTCCCAAAGGAAGAGAAGCTGATCAATGCCAAACGGCAGTTGCAGAGAACACCAAGAGCCGGCTTCACACTCAGGAGAGAACTCATGGTTTCTGGCGCTCTACACATTTAGAGACATCTGTAGTGATGAACTATAGAAATGATCCCTGAAAAGTCTTAGTATACTAAGCCAGTTTTACAGAAATAGTACATATTGAAGAAATCACACAATATCTTTGTCTCTAGCCCAGTGCTAACTAAAAAGTAAACAGATTTTTATGAGCAAATATAATTTTCAGGAGGAAAACTAATGTTTCAAAGTGAAAAAAGATCAGTATGCCAAATACACCTGAAACTCAACAGACCACGAAGCTACAGAACAATCTGACATTTTCTCCCAGAGATCTAATTTCCAGCTGTCTTCTAACACAAGTTTACATTCTAACAAAACAGGTTTACTTTGGCAAGGCTTACCGACTTGTATATAATAGGTATCAATCAAGTGTCTTTGGATTTTAGGCAAACTGTTTTTATATATGCTAATAATGCTGCAGGTGTCCATAAAATAAAGTGAAAAATATCACTGCCCAAGTTGAGTTTTCTACACATTTACCTGTACTTAAAGAGTTAATACAATGAAAATCTTCTGATTGGTCATTGTTTTATATCTATCTCAGAATTATAGCTTTACATAAATTTCACATAGCTGTTCTTTTGCTAGAGGACTGAGTTCATCCCCGAGAAGTCCCACTTTTATAAAATGCTATGTTCTGCCACATCAATATATGGTCTAGAATGTCATCTAATGTTGTAGTCTTCAAAGTAGAAAGAAAATTTAAATTCTATTTATATTTGTCTAGAAATTATAAAAAATTAAAATTATTAATATTGACTATATGGTTGATAATGTTACCAGCACTCACTGTCAGATGGTCACTTGCTAATGGTGTGTGTGTTCCTGAGGGAAGAGTGGGAGTTCCAAAAAGCTGAAGAGATATGGCAGTCCTCTCTATTTCTTTATAGACTTTCAGTGTACTGAAAATTGTTTGCATGTTACTGGAATGGGTTTGTGGATTGTATTATTTTAAACAAGAGAATTGTAACCATATTTTGTAATGAGATATGACCATGGAAATTTAATAACACACAGGTTTGCTAGTTATCTCAAGGCAAAGCAGTTTGATAACGAATGGTTCTCAGAAGCTACTTAGCAAGTAGATATATTTTTGAAAAAAACATGCATTTTGTCTGTCACTTCATGGCAGAGGTAACAGCTTAACAACTATTGAGAAAGTAACTGCTTTAAAAAAACCTTATGCTATGGAGAGATCTTATTAGAAAAAAGATATTCAGAATTTCCTTCAACATTATTTGATTTTGCTACAAAAAAATAATAAAAAGGCACCATGTATATAAACGCTCACATCTTTACACTTAAACATGGAAACAGAATCTTCTAATCTCTTCCAGAAGCTTCATTAAACCAAATGGGAACTTGCTTTCTTGAAAAGACTTTTATTTTTTAGAAAATAAAAAATTTCAACCATATTGCTCAATAAAAATAACTATTAATTCTTAGTGAAAACAAAATTATTTGTAGTATTACAAGACTACATATGACTTTTTAAAAAAGGTGCTTTGGTGTCGTCTATACATGTAAAATCTAAATGTAAAAAAAAAGTGTAGTATTCTGAATCTGAACGAGTTGTTCCAGATAGTCCATCATTAATTCTTGGAATTTTATACAAACTTTGTATAAATGAAGTAGAAGAGGAGATACAAAATGATAAGGTGGATTTATCACCAATTTTATGTGATACACAAACCAAAGGTGATAGTCTGAAAGAGACTGACAAATCAAAGATCTTTGATGGTAGCTGCAAAGAAGCTTTTTTTTTTAAGAAGGTGAAAGAATCACTTGGGAGAAGGCTGCTTTGGCTCTTGATTCAATGATTAATTTTTTATGAAGGCAGCTATGTTACACTGCCCTGGGGAGTACATAGTGACATCTTTTTTTTTTTTAATCATTATTTTTTAATGAGCAAGAGGCAAATGTCTAAAAATCAAGTTTATATAAAAGTCTTTTCAAGAAGGCAAGTTCTCAGATTCTGTTACTATTTGGTCCCAGGTTCTACTATCAATGTAATGACAGCAGTAACACAATGAACGCGCATTGTGTTGATTTCCACTAGCAAAAGATTTAAATAATATTTAGTTATGTTGAATAAGGCAGGGAAGGTGATTTTAATCCAAGATTTCTAAAGAAAATAATTAAAATCCAAGAATTAAAGGGTTAAGCTTCATTTATCTAGAAAACTCATTCGTATTCTCTATGACGTTGGGTAACAAGAGCATTATTGTATTTATTAATTATTCATTGAACTACTTATGTCTACAATGCTGATGTATATCTAAGACCACAATTAATGTAACTACTACATTGAAATAAATTAGATCCTATAAAGAATAATTCAATATATTACACAAAGAATTCACAAATAAATTATTATTCTGGTAGTAATTCAGCCCTGGGACTTTCAAAGTTTACCTGCCATCATGTGTCCAAAAACTCCTTGAAAGTAGTTTGGTCATAGTCTGTCATATTTGAGTTGGATTGTGTAGAAACATTTAGACTACACAAATAGAATTTGTTGGATAGCAGACAACATATGAACTCCTTGGAACGTTAAGGAAAAAAATGTGAAAACGAGTTTGTTCATATGGACAACCTCTGAACTAAAAAAAAAAAAAAAAAGTTTTTTTCATTACAAAAGTAATACAGGTTCATTGTCCAGTAAATATTTTAAAGTATCTCCTTTTTTCATGCCACTGAGACAGGGTTCATGGACCTTAATGGTAATTCAAAAAAAAAAAGGAATCATTGATTTTAGTACCACTACACCCTTTTTTCTCCTCACTTTTCCACTTTCCTAATGATAGTTTGTTTATGCCAGCATTCCCAAATCTATACTCTTGTGGACATTAGTTACAAAAGACATTAATATATATTCTGGAGAAAAAGGGGTTCTGTTGTCAAATAAGTGTTGAAAGACATCTCCTCTGGATGAATATGATGCATACTTGGCAAAAGCTTCTAGGAGGTCCTTCAGTAAAGAAACTCGCTTAAAGCCACAGCTCCCCATATTTATTATAGCTCACCACAAATCATTTTTGTGGAACAAATTTTGGAGAAACATTAATGGACTAATATTAAAATGAGTGTGTATTCCTTGAGCTTACTAGCTAAAGAAAAGGAGAAATGTCTAGGAATCTATCACTGAAGAAGGCTAATCTAGAGCGAAGAATGAGCAGGAAACTAAGAGCTGGCAGTACATGCACTTCTAAAAGTAGCAGGAAGATTAACAGAATTTAAGAAACCAGAATATTTAAGATACAATTCTGAAACACTCTATGGAATAAATCAGCTTGAACAGATTTATTTTTTCCTTCCAATTTGTAATTTTTTAATTATAAAAACAATATATGTTCAATAAATTAATATATGGATCATTCAGATCCTTTTAAAAAGGATCATTCCTCCTTTTAAAAAGGAGGAAAAAACTATAATTTCATTGCCTAGAGGCAAGCAATTTTGACACTTTGGTCTATTTCCTTGAATTCATTTTTCCTATAATGACCAATTTCGCCTAAAAAGAAAATTTTAAAGTTTTAAAGATCCATAAAAAATTAACAACCTACACTGTTTTTCATTATATCATATTTAAAAATAAGCATGGTGCAGATGAAATAGCATGAACTGCTAAATCATCAAACGTGAAGCTAAAATTCAGAGTTTGCCACTCATTAGGTATGTTACCTGCTTTTTAAAATCTCATTTGGCTTCAGTTTTCCCACTGCAAAATCTGGATAATGCCAGCTACCTCATGGTTTTACTATTGGATTAAAATGTATGACAACAACATATATTGAGCTTAATGAAAATAAGTATTAGCTGTTTCCTTACCCAGAACTTTTCATGAAGAAGATGATTTCTAAAAACGAGAGGTGGGAAAGTGGCACAATTAAGAAAAAGGAAAGAGAAGATACAAAGGCTTCATAAAAGACTAGAAAATCTGTGCAGAAACATACCTTGAAAATCTGAAGTCAAGGAGGCTCCAGCATTTCTGAAATATCACAAAGTATATTATTCCTGATATTAAATATGTTATTTTTAAAAAGTTTTAAATTCTTTACAAAAACATTATGGGTATAAATAACCAAAATTTTAATGACAAAAACTTTGTAGTTTCTTGCAAGCCAACTTATAATATGCAAGGTTTTTTAAAAAAAAAAACTGATTATAGATTATTCTTTTCACGCTTTGTAACAATTACATGAGGTTGGGTAACAAGTTTCACCTACAAACCAGTAAAAGGTGACTCTAGACTTAAATAAAATTGCTTTTGTGTTCTGGTAAGTTTTACTAAATTCTAAGTTTTGTGGCAATAGCTATGATTCGGAGAGGCAGTGCGGTAGACTACACTGGAATAGGCAAAAGACCTGGGTTCCATTCCTAGCTCTGACATTTGGTAGGTGTGTCTTTAGATAAATCACAACCTTCCTGAGTCTTAGTTTTTTCCATCCATTAAACACTGATTATCTCTGTCTTGCTGTGGTAAGGATCCAGTGTCAGTGTAACACAAGAATCAAATACTGGCTCTTTAGCCAGGGGAACTGGGTGGCAGGCTGTCCAGGTAGGAGAGGGACTTTTATTGTTCTTTTATACCATATGAAGTTTATAGACATGCAAGCATTATTTAACCCTGAAAATAAATAGGCTAGTAAGTTTCAGGACACAGTAAGAGATATAAAAATCTTCAGATTTCTAAACTGCCTTCAATGTTATTTTTTCAATACTTTGTTCCCAGCTATTGTTATATTCTCCTCTAGCCTTACCTTTCACAGGATTAATGATTTTTATACCAAGTGTATATTTTACTGAAAAGTCATTTTTTAAACTGTTTCCATAAGGCGATACTGGTACATCCTCTTGGCTAAACTCTGTAAGATTATATGATATTATTTAGATAGACAATAACCACCATTGGTAGAATGGTAATTTATCCATGTTTTCTCACCCAATTGCCCTTGAGACCAACACTATTTATAAGAATATGAGTGGCTGTAACAGAGCAAAGCTAACTAACTTTCACTGCAATTGCATCTGCGACCTTGGAGTCATTTTCAGTCAGTTCATTCAGCTACTCATACCTATGAGACATGCACTGTTAATGATGAATAAATCCATTTGGAAATTTCTGACACTCACTTTTTAAAGTGACAGTTTCTTTTTAAAAAGCTATGTTATATTCATTAACCAGACAATTTTGCTAATATTTAAGTTATATATGTTTCATTACTACATTATCATTTTGTACATATTGTTTGAATATCTATTTCCCTCAGGAAGACCATGAACTTACTGAAGGCATTACAATTTGTAGGCATTCAACTGAAACAAATGAAATTGTGAAAGCATATTATACTAACAAAGGCAAGAATACATCTTTTAATATTTGAAAATTTTTGATGGATAATTATTTAAACAAACCCCACTTGAAAGGAAACCACTAAATATCCACCCAAAGTACCCCATTAACATGAGGAATTAATAACAGTTTTACACATCCATGAGTATCTCCTATGTACTCTAATAATTGGAGAGAGGTAAACATCACCTCCATTTTAGATGAAGAATCCAACTTTCAGGAAAGTAAAAAAACATACTCAAGGTCACACAATGTGTCAGGGTCAAAATGAAAACCTAGGGCTGTTGAACTTTAAGGCCCAAGCTCCTTCCATACATGTAAAATTTGCAAAGGAAATTTTTCTTTAACCTATGAATCGAATGGCTTGATTGATAAGAGGAAAAAGCCATACAGAAAGGACAGATGCATGGACACCACTCATAGTTTTAAAGTCCCATGATTTTAATATTATAGATGTTATAGCTAAGGCATTTTATAGATATAATCTAATGCTGAGATTCTTCTTATGCTGGGCTCTGAATAGTACTACACTAAAATCTCATCATGATTTATTTAATACAGAGACTAACATTGTCAGAGTTCATCTTGAACCCCATACTCTACTCCTCCAATGATATTCAAGTTACTTGGATAAAAAAATTATAAACCAGTCTATTAAAAAAACCATTGATCTCCAAATAAAATTAGGTCACTCAGAAAGCATCATTTCAGGGTACCTTTGCTCTTGTGGGAAATCAATAGTAGGTTATTTTTCCAAAAATCCCAAGTTCTTTTTGAACCAATCACTCTCCCTCTTCATTCATACATAAATCTCAGGGTCTAGCAAGCCTATCTGGAGCCCTGGTACTAAAAACAATGCCACCACGGTAAGAACAAGACGGTTTGTCCCTGTGCTTGCAACTTTTCACAATGAACTAGACTAAAAGACAATAGGGAAATCTCCACAACGGAAGAGTCTCGCTTAGGTCATAAAATAAGTCTGATTGAGGCTGAAAGGTGAGTGTCACAAAAACCCAGAAAAATTCTCAAAGGTAAGTACTAACGAAAGAATATCATTGTGAAGGTTTTCATCAGAGAATGGTCTACCAATATGGAGAACATGAAGACACAGTGAAGCATATACTTATAATGGTCAAGACCTTAGCAGAGACTCCAAGGATCAAATGGAAGTATTCAACAATAGAGTTTAGTTCTAACTCTTCTTTTGGATTTAAATATGCACTTCAGTAAACTTTAAGTGGCATCTGAATAGCGAAACACAAGTTACTTTTTTCTTAAAGGATATCTGGATCGAGTCGAAAGGAATAAACATTAATGTACACCCCATACCTCCAGGGACCGAAAGTAATCAATTGGAACTGAAATTGAGTCTCTTCTCCTTTATCTCTACAGATATGACAAGGTGAGGGCACAAAGGATGTAAAGATTAGAGGCTCGAAAAGATCTCGCTCTCTCTTGCTCCAGAGAAGTTGCCCAAAGATCTGTCTCTAACCGAGCCCCAAAGGTGGACTGGATCCTTTCACAGACACGGATATGGTTGCCTGGGAGGAGAGCCTGGAAGGTGGGAGCCTGCGAGGCCAGGCAGCGGCCACCCTTCCCCCACTCACCTCCCGGGGCGCAGCTTAACTGGGGCTGGCCGAGTAACAGCCGCCATCACCATCGCCATCCCTCTGGATGCTCGCTGAAGTAGAGAAGGGAGGCCCAGCCATTCCTGTACCTCCTGTGGGTGCTACAAGGCGGATGCTTTTCTGCAACTCCCACCCTCCCCTCGGCGCTCCGTCCTCATCCCAGACGTTGCGGTCACAGCCTCCGCCTGCTTCCCAGGCGAAGCCACCACTTCCGTGTTCAGCTCCCTGCCTTCCTCCCTTACTCCCTCAGCAGCCGGCTCTTTTCCACGCGGAGGGCGCGCAGCTGACGCCACCGCCCCGCGACCTCGGTCTGGACCCGCGCTGGGTGTGGGAGGGGCGGCGCAGGCGCAATGTGGCGAGCGCGCCCGAGCGCGGGAAGCGGCTGTTCGCGGACGCTTGCTCCTCTCCTTCCCTCGGTCGCAGAGGCTCGGTCACCCGGTGAGTCCTCGCTTTCGCTGCCGGCGCCCACCAAGGAGAAGCGTGTTCTCTTCCCGGCTTGTCGTCTGACAGACCTTCTGCCATATCCTGCTGGTGCCACTCGGGTGGGGAACACGGGGCTGCGGAGGGCGTACTCGGGAGGAGACTAAGCTCTTCCCCTTAAGCTTCCTGGCTTTTCTCTTATTTAAAATAATAAGACTAGCTTTTATAAAACATTTTCAGGTAGGAAAAGATGCCGGCTACACAGAAGCCAATGAGATATGGACATACAGAGGGGCACACGGATGTCTGTTTTGATGATTCTGGGAGGTAAGGTTCTTTGAGAAACAAAAAGAACGTTTCAGGTGTAAATCTTAATTTATTCTCGTACGTCACATGTGCAGTCAGCCAAAAATGACTCATGCAGATAGAGAAGTGTAATGATAAAATCTAAAAATGGCACAGATATTTCCTTAGATTATTGTTTGATTCGGACCATCATGGTAGTTTCAGTATATCAGAGAAGTTAAAGTCTCGAGAGGAGTTAGATGTGAGCTTCTCCTCCCATATTTTCCCTTTATCTGCGTCTCACATGATTGATTTTGTCAGACCGCTAGATACTGCCTACTTGACAAATTCAGTGGCTTGTTATATTTGGTATGGTATGCTCCCTGGCCTTTAGCGATGCTATTTCCTTTTTTGCTGCCTTTTTTTTTTTTTAACTTTCTGATTTTTTTTAACTTATTTCCCTCTGCTTGATTCCTAAACAGTGATATTTTCCTAAGGTTTTTCTGGTCTCTTTTATCCTTCTAAACCCATTACTATGCAGTACCATCCAATTGTGTGGCTTCCACTTTCACTCCTATGTTGATTGATTCATTGAAAAAATATTTGTGTGTCTACTTTGCTGGGACACATTTAGGGATACGATAGAGCAAACAAGGCACAATCTTTTCCTTCATTGAGCTTAAGATCTTTTTGGATTGACAGACATTGAGCACCATTAATCACAAAAATAAATATATTTAGAAATGCAAAGTAATATGTGCAATGATAAGCATATATGAGGAGAAGCTGATCTAGTTCGAGGAGGCAGGGAAGGCTTCTCTGAGGAAGTGTTTCTTGAGATCTGAAGATTGAGTAGGCATTAAGTATAAAGATAGGTGGTGGTGGCAGTGGCGTAGTGATGTATTTCAAGCAGAGGGGACACTGTGTAAAGGCCTAGTGGGGGCAGGGACCATGGTATGCTCAAAGAACTGAAAGAAAGCTAGTGATGCTAAAGTGTAGAGAGTGATGCAGAGATTGATAAGAGATGAATCTGTGAAGGTAGGTATTGGGTTTCCTATCCAAGGCCTTCTGGGCTTTATTAAGAATTCTTGTTTTTAATCGTAAAAGCCATGGGAAGGTATTAAAGGTTTGAAGCAGAGGGGAGATGTGATCAGACTCTTTTTTGAGAAGATGGATGGAGGATGAATTGGAAAAGGAGCAATAGTGGTTGCAGATGACTATTAGGAGGTTTCTGTATTAGTTTGGTTACATGTGATGAAAGCTTGCACTAGAGTAGACATGGGTGTGGAGAAAAGAGGATACATTCAGGAAATATTTAAGAGGTAAAGTCAATAGTATGGATCAGACGTTAAGATGGAAAGAGAGATGTCAGGGATAACATCCGCATTTCTGGATGTTACAGTTGAGGAAATGCTGCTGCCATTTACAGATAATGGAAACACTTGAAGAGGAGCCTATTTCAGAGGTGGAGCAGGAGGTGAAGGTTATGAGTTTGCATTCAGACATGATTAGTATGGGATTTCTTTGAGATACTGTGCTAGAGAGGTAACGACAGATAAATGGGTCTCAAGCTCAGGGAAAAGTGTGAGCTAGAGATAGAAATACACAGTTGACCCTTGAACAACATGGGTTTGAACTTCAAGGGTCCACTTACATGTGGATTTTTTTCAATAAATATATTAGAAAGTTTTTTACAGATTTGCAACAATTTGAAAAAACTCATGTTGCCTAGAAATATTGGAAAAAATAAGAAAAAGTATGTCATGAATGCATAAAATATGTGTAGATACTAGTCTATTTTGTCATTTACTACCATACAATATATACAAATCTATTACGAAAAGTTAAAATTTATCAAAACTTATGCACGCAAACACACATCATACATGGCACCATTTGCACTCTAGAGAAATGTAAACAAGTGTAAAGATGCAGTATTAAATCATAACTACATAAAATTAACAGCAGTACATACTGTACTGTAATAATTTCATAGCCACCTCCTGTTGCTATTTCAGTGAGCTCAGGTGTTGCACATATCTGAATATATCCTTGAAATGTGTGACACTAATCATTTCCATGTGAGCAGTTTGTCTTTCCAGTAAATTGTATATCCCAATAAAAGGTGATCCCTCACAGTTCTTGTGTATGTTTCATTGTGTTTAGTGCAATACTGTAAATCTTCAATAATACCGTGACACCCATACGAAATGACACTAGTGATGCTGAAGGTGTTCCCAAGAAGCAGGGAAAAGTTATCACATGAGAAAAAGTCGAATTCCTTGATGTACTGTAAATTGAGGTCTGCAGCTGCAATTACCTGCCATTTTAAGATAAGCAAATGCAGCATAAGTAGCAACATGCTGGATTAAAAAAAAAAAAAGGAAATTTGTGAAGCCATGCCATAGCTGTTGCTACAGCTATGCCAGCAGGTGTGAAAACCTTGCACTTTTTTGTGAAATAGCTTTGTATCTTCTGTTCAGAATGCAGCTTTTATTTGGATGTAGGATTGCTATAAGAAAGGGATACCTGTAGGATGGGCCAGTCACTCATGCCTATAATCCTAGCACTTTGGGAGGCTGAGGCAGGAGGATCAGGAGTTATAGATCAGCCTGGACAATATGGCGAGACCCTGTCTCTACAAAAAATTAAAACATTAGCTGGGCGTGTTAGTCCCCGCTGCTCAGGAGGTGAGGCAAGGATCACTTGAACCAAGGAATTCATGGTTACGGCGAGTTATGATTGCACCACTATACTCCAGCCTGGGCAACACAGTGAGACCCTTTCTCAAAAAAAAAAAAAGGAAAAAGAAAGGCATACCTATAGACTCTAATATGATTTGAGAAAAAGCGAAGTCATTATATACCAACTTAAAGCAAATGGAAGGTAAAGGATCTAAAACTGGTGAATTTAATGCCAGCAAAGGGTGGTTTGATAATTTGGAAAGAGGTTTGGCTTAAAAAGTGTCAAGATAATAGGAGAAGCAATTTCTGATCAAGAGGCAGCAGATCAGTTCCCAGACACCATAACAAAAATCATTGAAGAGAAAGAATATTTGCCTGAATGTTTTTTTAATGCAGATGCAAGGACCCTATTCTGGGGGTGAAAAGCCACAAAAGGACATTTATTAATAAGGAAGAGAAGCAAGCTGAAGGGATAGGCTAACTCTATTGTGCAAATGCAGTCAGGTTTATGATCAGAACTGCCTTTGTCTATAAAGTTGCTAATCCCTAAGCCTTGAAGGGGAAAAATAAACAACAGTTGATGGTCTTTTAACAGGAAGGCCTGGGTAATGAAAACCCTTTTTCTGTTTTTTTTTTTTTTGAGACAGAGTCTCACTCCCTTGCCCTGAGTAGAGTGCCGTGGTGTCAGCCTAGCTCACAGCAACCTCAAACTCCTGGGCTCAAGGGATCCTCCTGCCTCAGCCTCCCAAGTCACTGGGACTATAGGTGCATACCACAACGCCTGGCTAATTTTTCTATTTTGAGTAGAGATGGGGTCTAGCTCTTGCTCAGGCTGCTCTTGAACTCCTGAGTTCAAGTGATTCTCCTGCCTCGGCCTCCCAGAGTTCTAGGATTATAGGCGTGAGCCACTGCGCCTGGCCAAGGACGCTTTTTCTGGATTGGATCCATTGATGCTTTGTCAGGAAGTACCTTGCCAGTAAAAGACTGCCTTTAAAGTTCTTTTGATACTGGCTAGTGCCACCCAGAATCCCGTGAGTTTGATGCCTTTGAAGTGGTCTACCAGCCCCCAAACACAATGCCTCTAATTCAAACTGTGAATCAGGAGGTCATACAGACTTTTAAGGCTCATTACACGTACTACTCTATGGAAAGGTCTGTCGGTGCTACTGAAGAGAACTCCAATAGAGATAAAGTCTGGAAGGATTACACCATTGAAGATGTCATCGTTGTTATAACAAAAGCCACGGTTCTCAACATGGACAAATCAGAGCAAAAAAAAAAATCCGTCAATCCCGAAACAATAAATTCTTGCTGGAGAAAACTGTCCAGATGTTATGTATGACTTCATGTGATTTATGACAGAGGCAGTCAAAGAAATTGTGAAAGAGATTTGGATATGGCAAAAAAGATGGAGGGTGAAGGGTTTTAAGATACAGATCTTGGAGAAATTCAGGAGCTAATAGACACCACATCAGAGGAATTAACAGAAGATAACTTGGTGGAAATGAGTGCTTCTGAACTAGTGCCAGATGATAAGGAAGAAGATGTAGAAGAAGCAGTGCCAGAAAACAAATCGACGTTAGACAGTTTGTCGGAAGAGCTCCGGTTATTCAAGGCTGCTTTTGACTTCATTTACAACATGGACCCCCTTCTGTGATATGGGCACTGAAACTAAAGCAAACAGTGGAAGAAGGATTGGTACTGTATAAAAACATTTTTAGAGAAATGAAAATGCAAAAAAGACAGAAATTATGATATATTTCCATAGAGTTGCACTGAGTGTGCCTGCCTCCCCTGCATCCCCTTACCTTTCCACCTCTGCCACCCCTGAGACAGCAAGACCAGCCTGTCTTTCTGCTCCTCAGCCTATTCAGTGTAAAGACGACAAGGATGAAGACCTTTATGATGACCCACTTCTAGTTAATGAATGGGAAATATATTTTCTCTTCCTTAGGACTTTCTTTTTTTTTTTAAATTGATTTTTATTTCAGCATGTTACAGTGGTACAAACATTTAGGTTATGTGTACTGCCCTTGCCCCACCCGAGTCAGAGCTTCAAGTGTGTCCATCCCCCAGACAGTGCACACCGCACCCATTAGGTGTGTATATACCCATCCCCATCTTCCCCTTCCCATCTGCCCAAAGGATTTTCTTAATAACATTTTCTTTTTTCTAGCTTACTTTATTGTAAGACTATAGTATGTAATACACTTAACATACAAAATGTGTTAATTGACTGTTTATGTTATTGGTAGGGTTTCTGACCAACAGTAGGCCATTAGTTAAATTTTTGGGGAATCAAAAGTTATATGTAGATTTTTGGTGCCCCTAAACCTCATGTTGTTCAAGGATCAACTGTACATCTTTAGCTGATGCCTCTCAGTTTAGGATTAAGATCCCAGCTGGGTATCTAAATGTGGGAATTGTCAGTATATAGATGGTATTTAATTCTATGAACTTGGATAAAATCACCTCGGGAGGGAGCGAATTTAGAAAAAAGAGGTTCAAGGGCAGGGACTTCAAAAGAGAGATTAAGTTAGGGAAGGAATATTCAGCTAAAGAGTCTAAGAAGGAGTGG